AGGGGTGTGGTTGCTTCGACGCTCCCCGTCCTTTCAGGCGCGGCGCCACTGCCGAGAGTGCGTTGGCGGCCCCCGCTACCGCAGTAGCCGGCCGCGACGGGACGCCCGTCTGCTTGTCCGATCTCTCTCTCTCTCTCTCTACCTCTCTCTCTCTCTCTCTGCGGCCCCTGGGCGAGAGCGGGGCGCCGCCGCTCCCGTGCACAAGCCTAGAAGGGAGTGAGGAGGGAGTGAGGGAGGGAGGGTGGGAGGGAGGAGGAGGGGGGAGGAGGGAGGGAGGAGGGAGGATGGAGGAGGGAGGGAGGGAGGGAGGGAGGAGTACGATTAGAAGGGAGGACGCGGGGAGGAGGGAGGAGTACAGTCACGAGAGGCGAGGAGGGAGGAGGGACGAGAAGGGAGGCGTACCGATATTGGAGGGAGGAGGAAGAGGGGGGGGAGGAGGGAGGGAGGAGGGAAGGGCGAGAAGTACAATTGAGAGGGAGGGAGGCGCACATGGATCGCGGGACGCCAGACGCAAGGGTACTCTTGATTTCACACAAGGTCGACCTACTAATCAAGGCCGACTGTAAGGAGGAGGAGGAAGGGGAGGAGGGGAAGGATGAGGATGAGGATGAGGATGAGGATGAGGATGAGGATGAGGATGAGGAGGAGGAGGAGGAGGAGGATTTTTTGTATCCACGCGAATGCAACCCCCGTACACCCCCAGAGATGGGCGAGTCCTCTGGGGGGTGACAACGAGCTCCACAACACCAGCACAGTGGAGCCGAGTCAAGGAGCCGAGCGGCTCGCGCAACACAGCTGAGAGGTGAGGGCCACCCCGCGCTCTGCAAGCGGAGTCGCGCAGTGCGCACAGGGAGAGGCCCGTGCCACAGGACCACAGGGCACCGTCGGCTGTGCAAGACAGCGCCCATGCGGGGCGCGCAGGACAGAGAGGACAAAATGGCCAACCCACATCCAGACGCGCACAGCAAAACATGATCGACCCACGAACCCGGAAAGGAATATAGAAATGTAACGCACGGCAGCGTTTTCAAAGACACCTGATTGGATGACGGGCAAGTGCAATGCTGATTGTATCGATCTTGATGTACCGTGCCGAGGGCTGTGCTGTGCTGCACCGTGCTGAATTGCGATGTGCCATGCCGCGGTTGTGCTCTATAGCGTCGTGGATCGAGTCTTCCTTTGCATCCGAGTCCTGACCGAACTGATCTGGATCTTCAGCTCGAGCTGCCTGAACACATAGTAGCTGCCCCAGAGCTAATTGACAGGGGAATATGCCAGGAGGACGCGCCGCGGAACGTCCCAAGGGACGCGCCAGGCGACGTGCCAGGGGACGTGCCATGGGGTCGCACCGTAGGACGTGCCAAGGGGACGCGCTACGGGACATCCTCAAAATTCCTGCGCGCGGGACGTGGCACGCGCGAGACATCCCCGGAATTCCTGCGAGCGGGACGTGAAAACAAACATTTCGCATGAGACATCCTCTGAATTCTGGCCCCCCACGAGGCCCGCGCCCGAGACATCCCCCAAGTTTGCCAAACCAGCGTTTCGCTCGAGACATCCTCAACAAATTATGAAAAACAAGCGTTTCGCTCGAGACATCCGGTCAAAATCCAAGGACATCCTGGCAAAGCAAACGAATTAGCCGAGATATCCTCAAAATTCCTGCGCGCGGGACGCGGCACGCGCGAGACATCCTTGGAATTCCTGCGAGCGGGACACGAAAACAAGCATTTCGCCTGAGACATCCTCTGAATTCTGGCCCCTCACGAGGCCCCCGCTCGAGAAATCATCAAATTTTGCAAAGCAAGCGTTTCCCTCGAGACATCCTCAACAAACTATGAAAACATGCCAGGAGGACGCGCCGCGAAACGTCCCCAGGGACGCGCCAGGCGACGTGCCAAGGGACGTGCCATGGGGTCGCACCGTAGGCCGTGCCAAGGGGACGCGCTACGGGACATCCTCAAAATTCCTGCGCGCGGGACGTGGCACGCGCGAGACATCTTCCGAATTCCTGCGAGCGGGACGTGAAAACAAGCATTTCGCCTGAGACATCCTCTGAATTCTGGCCCCCCACGAGGCCCCCGCTCGAGACATCCCCAAGTTTGCAGAAACCAGCGTTTCGCTCGAGACATCCTCAACAAATTATGAAAAACAAGCGTTTCGCTCGAGACATCCGGTCAAAATTCTAAGAAATCCTGACAAAACAAACGAATTAGTCGAGACATCCTCGAAATTCCTGCGCGCGGGACGCGGCCCGCGCGAGACATCCTTGGAATTCCCGCGAGCGGGACACGAAAACAAGCATTTCGCCTGAGACATCCTCTGAATTCTGGCCCCCCGCTCGAGACATCTCCAAATTTTGCGGAAACCAGCGTTTCGCTCGAGACATCCTCCACAAACTATGTAAAATAAGCGTTTCGCTCGAGACATCCTGCCAAAGTTCTAAGAAATCCTGACAAAACAAGCGAATTAGTCGAGACATCCTCGAAATTCCTGCGCGCGGGACGCGGCACGCGCGAGACATCCTCGGAATTCCTGCGCGCGGGGCGCTTTTCCGAGTCGCGGTCGGGGCTCCAGACCCCGTTATTTTTCGAGGATTCTGCGAAAAACGCTCCGCACCCTCTTTTTTACGAGGGAAAGCGGGGGTCTGCGGACCCCGTTATTTATCGAGGATCCGAGATGGGGGGCGAACTTTCCTCGAGCGGGCACGCACAAAACGCACTTTTTCTAAAAAAATCAGCACTTTACCTCGTTATTTATCGCAAATAATTTCGCCGGCGCTTGACCCGTCAGATCCGGGGGTAAACGGCTAAAAGAGAACCCTGGGCCCGCGCCCTTTCCGGGAAAAGTGGCCCCCCCTGTGCAACGGTCACCGCAAGCGGGGAATTACCTCCAGCGCTCCACGGCCGTGCAGCAGGTGAACGCTGATAGCACGCAGCAGTGAAAAGGATGGCCACGAGGACCCCATATCGAGCCCGCCACGTGAGCCCAGCTGCCGCAAAAAGAACATGATCGACCCACGAACCCGGAAAGGAATATAGAACCGTAACACATGGCAGCGCTTTCAAAGACACCTGACTGGGGCAATGCTGAGTGTATCGATCTTGATGTACCCTGCCGAAGGCTGTGCTGTGCTGCACCGTGCTGAATTGCGATGTGCCATGCCGCGATTGTGCTCTATAGCGTCGTGGATCGAGTCCTCCTTTGCATCCGAGTCCTGACCGAACTGATCTGGATCTTAAGCTCGAGCTGCCTGAACACATAGTAGCTGCCCCACAGCTAATTGACAGGGGAACATGCCAGGAGGACGCGCCGCGAAAAGTCACAAGGGATGCGCCGGCGACGTGCCAGGGGACGTGCCATGGGGACGCACCGCGGGACGTGCCAAGGGGACGCGCTACGGAACGTGCCAATGGATGCGCCACGGGATGTGCCAGGGGACGCGCCGCGCGACGTGCCAGGGGGACTCGCCAAGGGACGCCGGGGACGAGGTGGATCGAGTCCTCCTTTGCATCCGAGTCCTGACCGAACTGATCTGGATCTTAAGCTCGAGCTGCCTGAACACATAGTAGCTGCCCCAGAACTAATCGACAGGGGGACATGCCAGGAGAACGCGCCGCGGAACATCCCAAAGGACACGCCAAGCGACGTGCCAGGGGACGTGCCATGGGCACGCACCGCGGGACGTGCCAAGGAGACGCGCTACGGAACGTGCCAATGGACGTGCCGCGGGACGTGCCAGGGGACGCGCCACGCGACGTGCCAGGGGGACTCGCCAAGGGACGCCCCACGGAACGTGCCAAGTTGCAATGCTGAGTGTATCGATCTTGATGTACCATGCCGAAATCTGTGCTGTGCTGCGCCGTGCTGAACTGCGATGTGCCATGCCGCGATTGTGCTCTAGATAGCGTTGTGGATCGAGTCCTCTTTGCATCCGAGTCCTGACCGAACTGATCTGGATCTTAAGCTCGAGCTGCCTGAACACATAGTAGCTGCCCCAGAACTAATCGACAGGGGGACATGCCAGGAGGACGCGCCGCGGAACGTCCCAAAGGACACGCCAAGCGACGTGCCAGGGGACGTGCCATGGGCACGCACCGCGGGACGTGCCAAGGAGACGCGCTACGGAACGTGCCAATGGACGTGCCGCGGGACGTGCCAGGGGACGCGCCACGCGACGTGCCAGGGAGACTCGCCAAGGGACGCCCCACGGAACGTGCCAAGGAACGTGCCAAGTTGCAATGCTGAGTCTATAGATCTTGATGTACTGTGCCGAAGTCTGTGCTGTGCTGCGCCGTGCTGACTTGCGATGTGCCATGCCGCGATTGTGCTCTATAGCCTCGTGGATCGAGTCCTCCTCTGCATCCGAGTCCTGATCTGAATCTTAAGCTCGAGCTGCCTGAACACATAGTAGCTGCCCCAGAGCTAATTGACAAGGGCGAGGAATCGGAGCGCCCAGTATGGCCTATGATGGCTCCAAGAGGGCCTCAAAAAGCCCAAGATGGCCTGGAAGATCGTGCAAGATAGCTCAAGATGGTTCAATATAGCTATCAACATGCATCCAAGAGCTCTGAAAACCTATCGGGCACGTGCTGGACAAGTGCCCGGTACTAGGTGCAGCAAGGGAGCGGGCAATGTGGACACATAGGTGACAAGATGGATGAAGTGCACTCCTAAACTGCATCATGCTGCACATCTTTCATCAAGGCAACTCCCCTGGCGATTGTTTTTGGATGGGCTGGTGGGGATACGCGAAGAGTGAAGAATCCCACCAGCCCTCTGGGCGTAGGTGGTCCAGAGCGTTTCCTCTTCCAGAAACCCCTCTCCCCACCCTCTCCCCTGGGGTTTCTTGTAGTCGCGAGTTAGCTTTGTACCTTGTATTTTCGTCGTGATCGTCGTGATCGTCGCGGCACCTCCGACCCAGACGCGCCTAGGCGTCGTTCCTGGATGGACTGGTGGGGATACGCGAAGCGTCAAGAATTCTGGGATTTGGTCTAAGCTGAGGTCCCCAATGAGCTGGTACATACCCTGGAGCTCACCGGTGGCCGCGCTCAGCTTGCCGCCGCCCTGTTCGGCCGGGCGCCACCCTTCCGTGACAGGCAAGAAGATCGTCCCCGCTCCGCAAGGTTCCACTCGAGGAAGGTATTTTAGGAGATCAAGAGGGCTCGCGATGGTGATGTTCATGTTGGCAGCGTTGACCCGGAATTGCTCTTGCATCATGGCTTTCAGGTCTTGGACGTCGGTAGTCGGGTGTGGCATCCTCAAGTAGATTGCCATCTTGCGCTTCGTGTCCACCAGTTCCATGATAAGGCCCATCTTGGGGCGATATTTGGTACCGCAAAAACAGTACCACCCCTGCCTCTTGACCCCCGCCGCCTCCTCTTCTAGCGTCCTCCGGCGGATCCAGGCATCCGACCTGAGCAGGCCACAGCACAAATCCCACCAGCCCTCTGGGCGAAGCTGGTTTAGCGAGTTGTGTCTTCTCTCTGCCAAAACCTCTTCCTCCCCCTGCCCTACCCCTCCCCTGGGACTGGACGGGGGGGGCGGGAAGGTGTCAGACCGTCCTTTTTGGCCCAAGATGGCTCCAAGAGGGCCTCCGAGAGCCCAAGATGGCGTCCAAGATGGCCCAGCATACCTCAACATGATTCAAGATAGCTTCCGACACGCATCCAAGAGGCTTCAAGACGGCCCCAATATGATTTCAACTGCCCTCCGACCATTTCAAGGACCCCCCCAAGAAGCGAAAAATGGATCCAAAACCTGAGGAAGACTGATGTTTTGTTTTGTTGCTTTTTCGCGTTTTCGATTCCGATGGGCTCCAAGAGGGCCTCCGAGAGCCCAAGATGGCGTCCAAGATGGCCCAGCATACCTCAACATGATTCAAGGTAGCTTCCGACACGCATCCAAGAGGCTTCAAGACGGCCCCAATATGATTTCAACTGCCCTCCGACCATTTCAAGGACCCCCCCAAGAAGCGAAAAATGGATCCAAAACCTGAGGAAGACTGATGTTTTGTTTTGTTGCTTTTTCGCGTTTTCGATTCCGATGGGCTCTTGAGGAGTCAAGATGGCAGCAAGATGGCCCAAAAGAGCTCCAAGAGAGGCTCAAGAGGGCCCCTAGAGCGACCAGGAGCGCCCCAAGAGCGGCACAGCGGATCCCCAAGACGCTCTTTCCGAGCCTCCGAGGACGCGATCCGTATTGAGGGCTCCCCTCTTTTGCAGCACCATCAGCAGCACCGCCAACAGCCACAACAGCACCAGCACCAGCACCAGCAGCAGCACCACCACCAGGAGCAGGAAAAGCAGCAGCACCAGCAGAAGCAGCACCAGCAGCAGCAGCACGAGCAGCAGCAGCAGCACCAGCAACAGCGCCACCAGCAGCAACAGCACCAGTAGCAACACCCGCAGCACCAGCAGCACCAGCCCAGCAGCACCACCACCAGCAGCAGCAGCAACAGCAGCAGCACCAGCAGGATCAGCAGCACGAGAACCAGCAACACCAGCAGCAGCAGCATTGGCAGCAGCAGCATTTCGAGCAGCAACAACAGCACCGGCAGCAGCACCCGCACCCTTCGCTACCAGAGATCTTCCAATTCACCGTTGTTGCCTGCGCTGTTTCACGATGTGTCCTCCCTTCTCCCGTCAGCTGTCCTGGGAATCGTTCCTGGATGGGCTGTTGGGGATACGCGAAGCGTCAAGAATTCTCTTTGCGATGATTAGTGAGCGTGTTCGACTTGCACACGTAATATACATTCAACGCGTAGTTGCCCTGCACAAACCAGTTGTCCGTGTAATCGGACATTGCCACCAAAGCAAGCTGCTCTTTCTGGGAAACCGGTTTGCCCCCGACCTCCCGGAACGCTTGCATTCTGCCAGCCCTGGCGTCGACCTCGTCGTGCAGAACTGCCCCGATGGCCATGTCCTCCTGCTCGGCGGCGATCGTGAAGCCAGCCTCGCGAGCGACCGGGTTGCTGTTCATCCAATTGAGCAGATCTGTGGCCGCGGAGAGGGAATCGTTGAGGTCGTGCTTCTTCTGGCCGAGGAGGTACATGATCGGGGAACATGCTCTTTTGAGAGCATCGATCTGGATCGTCACGAACGCCCTGCGGAACTCCCTCCTGCCCGCCTTGGACATTTGCGAGTAGGGTGTGTTGAGGGCCTCCTGGCGGCGCTTGTGCGCCTTCTTCATCGACCTCCGATTTTTCCCGTGAATGCCAGTCAGGTCCGGCATGGCGTAATCCATCAGCGATGGCAAGACCCCCCTGACCTCGGAAGACGAGGCCCCCCCTGACCCCTCCGAGGCAGCCTGGGGGATCCCCCCCGGAGCCGCCAAGGAGGGGCCATCACGGAGGACCGGGCCCAGCTCACCAGTCGCCCGGGCGATGTCGTCGTCCTGCAAGCCTGACAATAGCAAAGCTTCCCATTGAGTTGTGAAATCCACGCATCCAGCCGCGTATTCCGAGCAGCGCTGCAGGCCACGAGCATTCCTGCCGCCCTTCTGCTCCTTACGAAGGATACGGGACATGGCTGCTGGAGTCACTCCTTCGGCAGCAGCCTCACACGTGCAGCAGGAGTTCTTCTTGTCGTACTGTCCAGTAGCTTCGTTCCACTCCGTATAAGATCTCATGTGCTTCCAATCGCCTTCGGAGGAAGAGAAAACGACACAAACGTACACTTTCGGATGCCGGTGCGAATTTCTAAGATCGGCGCTCGACCCCCCTGGCGGCGCCGGAAGCGCGCTCAAGGCAAGGGAGGGTGGCCCAACGCCGATCCCAGAAATCCGAACGGACTTCCGAAAATTGACGTTCATGTCGTTATTTTCTTACTCGGTCCTCTAGCAGAGCAGCCAGGGCGATCGCAGGGGCGGACCCTGTGAGGTGGCACCCAGGCGCCCTGCAGCCATACGTGCCCATCGTCTCGTACAATTTCATCGCCAGGATCAGCCTTGCGTTTTTGACACAACATGGCGCGTGTCTGCTCACACATGAGCGCGAGGGCCTTAGCGCGGAAATCCGGAGACACCGCATTCTGCATCTCCTCCCCGCTCGGCCGCCCGCCTGCGTCGACGTCGGAGCGGGATCCCGGAGTCGTCGCCTCCTGCACCTCCCCGCCGTTCGCCGGTGCGCCGGTTCGCCTGCGTCTCTTGGGAGCCATGAGTGTGACGGTGCAGCAAGCAGCGACGTACCCCACGTAAAGCAAGAAGTCCCACATCCTTACGACCGTCTGTTGGCGGTGAAGCGAGGAAAGCGCGAGCGGAGCGGTCTCGAGCCAAGGTGTGCTACGTCGTCGTCGTCGTCGCCGTCGTCGTCTCGAGCCGCGGCCGACAGCATGCCCTGCCGATTTCTCTCGCCTCGGAAGCTGAAACCGTCGAAGTCCTCCCGAAATCAGTTCCCGGCCCCCTCCAAGGGTCCAAACGCACAAGTTTTTGTAGCTGCGTCCAGCCGGGGCGACGAGGACGGCCCCCGAGGGCCAGAAAGCCTCAAGACTCGGACTCTGAAGTTCGAAGCTCGAACCTCGACGTGACCTCGGCCAGCTCCCCCCTCGGCCTGCCCCGGCGCTGCGGGGGCGGCCGCCCGAAAAACATGTCGGGAAGAAGGCGCAGCTCGAATGCAGGACTTGACACGTGTCTTCCTCCTCCTCCTCCTCCTCTTCTGCGTCCTCCTCCTCCTCCCATACATCTAACAGAACTCGCCTGAACGCACGTGTTGGAGCTGGCGTCGCAGGTATCGTGTGTACCCGAGTAAACAGATGTCCCACAAGCGCAAGGCACGGTCGTCGCTGCTGCCGTACCGTCGGTAGTGCTGCATGCTGCCTCGGGCGATCCCAAGGCCCTCTCGGACCGTCTTGGAGCTCTTTGGGGGCCCTGAGGGAACTCTTTGGGGGCCGTGTGGACCTGGGAAGCCTAATCTATAGGCACATACGTAAGAACACACGGATTCGCTGGGGGCCTGGATTACGCTGGATCGTCGTCGTCGTCGCCGCCGCCGCCACCGCGACGTCGTCGTCGTCGCGCTGTCCTCGATCCCTCGATCGTGTAAGCGTGGGCTCTACAGACCCCCAAGAGACCCTCCAAGAGAACCCCCGGAGACCCCCCCACGCAAGGCTCTAAGATGAGACTTTGTCGTCGTCGTCGCCGCCGCCGCCACCGCGACGTCGTCGTCGTCGTCGTCGCGCTGTCCTCGATCACTCGATCGTGAAAGCGTGGGCTCTACAGACCCCCAAGAAACCCTCCAAGAGAACCCCGAGACACCCCACGCAAGGCTCTAAGATGAGACTTTGTCGTCGTCGTCGCCGCCGCCGCCACCGCGACGTCGTCGGATCGTGAAAGCGTGGGCTCTACAGACCCCCAAGAGACCCTCCAAGAGAACCCCAAGACACCGCTCCACGCAAGGCTCTAAGATGAGACTTTGTCGTCGTCGTCGCCGCCGCCGCCACCGCGACGTCGTCGTCGTGGGCTCTACAGACCCCCAAGAGACCCTCCAAGAGACCCCCCACGCAAGGCTCTAAGATGAGACTTTGTCGTCGTCGTCGCCGCCGCCGCCCTGTCCTCGATCCCTCGATCGTGTAAGCGTGGGCTCTACAGACCCTCAAGAGACCCTCCAAGAGAACCCCAAGAGACCCCCCCACGCAAGGCTCTAAGATGAGACTTTGTCGTCGTCGTCGCCGCCGCCGCCGCCACCGCGACGTCGTCGTCGTCGTCGCGCTGTCCTCGAGCCCTCGATCGTGTAAGCGTGGGCTCTGCAGACCCCCAAGAGACCCTCCCAGAGAACCCCCGGAGACCCCCCCACGAGAGGCTCTAAGATGAGACTTTGTCGTCGTCGTCGCCGCCGCCGCCACCGCGACGTGGTCGTCATCGTCGCGCTGTCCTCGATCCCTCGATCGTGTAAGCGTGGGCTCTACAAACCGTCAAGAGACCCTCCAAGAGAACCCCAAGAGACCCCCCCACGCAAGGCTCTAAGATGAGACTTTGTCGTCGTCGTCGTCGCCGCCGCCGCCACCGCGACGTCGTCGTCGTCGTCGCGCTGTCCTCGATCCCTCGATCGTGTAAGCGTGGGCTCTACAGACCCTCCAGAGACCCTCCAAGAGAACCCCAAGAGACCCCCCCACGCAAGGCTCTAAGATGAGACTTTGTCGTCGTGGTGGACGCCGCCGCCACCGCGACGTCGTCGTCGTCGCGCTGTCCTCGACCCGTCGATCATGTAAGCGTGGACTCTACAAACCGTCCAAGAGAACCCCAAGAGACGTCGTCGTCGTCGTCGTCGTCGTCGTCGTCGTCGCCGCTCCCAGAGCCTTCGGGGCCTCTCCTTGGCCCTCCTACGGAAAATCCTGCAAAACCTAGCGAATTAGTCGAGACATCCTCGAAATTCCTGCGCGCTGGACGCGGCACGCGCGAGACATCCTCGGAATTCCTGCGCGCGAGTCTTCCTTTGCATCCAAGTCCTGACCGAACTGATCTGGATCTGAAGCTCGAGCTTCCTGAACACATAGTAGCTGCCCCAGAGCTAATTGACAGGGGGACATGCCAGGAGGACGCGCCGCGAAACGTCCCCAGGGACGCGCCAGGCGACGTGCCAAGGGACCCAGGGACGCGTGCCAGGCGACGTCGTGCCATGGGGTCGCACCGTAGGCCGTGCCAAGGGGACGCGCTACGGGACATCCTCAAAATTCCTGCGCGCGGGACGTGGCACGCGCGAGACATCTTCCGAATTCCTGCGAGCGGGACGTGAAAACAAGCATTTCGCCTGAGACATCCTCTGAATTCTGGCCCCCCACGAGGCCCCCGCTCGAGACATCCCCAAGTTTGCAGAAACCAGCGTTTCGCTCGAGACATCCTCAACAAATTATGAAAAACAAGCGTTTCGCTCGAGACATCCGGTCAAAATTCTAAGAAATCCTGACAAAACAAACGAATTAGTCGAGACATCCTCGAAATTCCTGCGCGCGGGACGCGGCCCGCGCGAGACATCCTTGGAATTCCCGCGAGCGGGACACGAAAACAAGCATTTCGCCTGAGACATCCTCTGAATTCTGGCCCCCCGCTCGAGACATCTCCAAATTTTGCGGAAACCAGCGTTTCGCTCGAGACATCCTCCACAAACTATGTAAAATAAGCGTTTCGCTCGAGACATCCTGCCAAAGTTCTAAGAAATCCTGACAAAACAAGCGAATTAGTCGAGACATCCTCGAAATTCCTGCGCGCGGGACGCGGCACGCGCGAGACATCCTCGGAATTCCTGCGCGCGGGGCGCTTTTCCGAGTCGCGGTCGGGGCTCCAGACCCCGTTATTTTTCGAGGATTCTGCGAAAAACGCTCCGCACCCTCTTTTTTACGAGGGAAAGCGGGGGTCTGCGGACCCCGTTATTTATCGAGGATCCGAGATGGGGGGCGAACTTTCCTCGAGCGGGCACGCACAAAACGCACTTTTTCTAAAAAAATCAGCACTTTACCTCGTTATTTATCGCAAATAATTTCGCCGGCGCTTGACCCGTCAGATCCGGGGGTAAACGGCTAAAAGAGAACCCTGGGCCCGCGCCCTTTCCGGGAAAAAGTGAAACGACCCCTAAACAGCTGCCACCGCAGGGGAAGAATACCTCCACCGACCCACGGCCGCGCTAGCAGGAGGTGGACTCACGCAGCAGTGAGAGGGGCCACAGGGGACCCCAGATCGAGCCCGCCACGCACGCCCAACCACCTCCAAGCAAGGAGGAGAGCGGCCCCCCTGTGCAGCTGTCACCGCAGGGGGAGAATTACCTCCAGCGCCCCACGGCCGCGCACCAGCAGGAGGTGGACACACACGCAGCAGTGAAAAGGACGGCCACGCAGACCCCTGATCGAGCCCGCCGCGCAGGTCCAGTGACCGCTGAGCAACAACCTGATGCCCCAGTGTGGAGAAGCAAGACAAAACGCAATGGCCCAGTGTGGGCGCAAATCTGGGTGCCGACGGAGGCCGCCCCCTGGCCACGAGCCTCGGACGAACCGGCAACTGGCCGCCAGGGAACACCGAATGGCTGGCCCGCCAAGCGGCCCTAGTCAGAGCCAGAAGAAACGCTCCCTCGCGCCAACCACCACTCATCCTCGTCAGACAAGACAGAAGACAGCGAGTGCGGGGAGTGGCCGTGCAATGCAGCCCAGAAAGACCCGCGAGCCACCGCGGCTCTAGCAAGGTGACCTCCTGAACTTGGCCCCGCACTGTTAGCAACTCCTGACTCCGCGCCGTGGGCTCCCGTGGCGACACCTTCCAAGCAAAGGACGCGCGCCACTTGTCGGAGAACCACAGGGCCGTCCCCTCCTTCGAGGAGGAGGAGTAGGAATGAGGAGGAGAGAGGAGGGAGGAGGGAGGAGGAGGAGAGAGGAGGGAGGAGGGAGGAGGGAGGAGGAGGAGGAGGAGCACCTCGCTTCTCGGAGCGCTTTTTGTTAGGCAGGTCAAGACGGTGTTCCCGCTGCAGCGAGGGCCCCATCTCGGGATCGGCGCCGTGCGACCGTCGTTCAGAGTGGTGCGCTCGCTCCAACGCTCGCTCCGGCGCTTTCTCGTCACTGTCGACCCTCTGGCCTCCCTTGCTCCACCTTCCCCCGCTCCTCCCGCTCCTCCTACTTCCTGCTTCTGCTGACGCTGCCGCTCCTCCTCCGTTCTCATCGTTCTCCTCTTCCTCCTGCACAGGCTCCGGCTCACTGCCACTTCCCCATCCTCCACCTCCTCCCCCTCCTCCTCCTCACCCTCCTCCTCCTCCTCCTGAACTGTACACGGCTCCCCTCCTGAGCGCGCATCACGCGATGGGGTCAATTTGCGGATCCAGGCCGCTAAGACACCCATCGCAGGATAGAGAAACAACCGGCAATGGGAAGGAATGGGTGGGAGGGGCAGGGTGTCAGATATGGCGCGCCTAATTCAATTGCAACATCGTGAAAAATCATGACCGCAGCTCCGGACCCCATCTTCCTGCATCATTTTTCGAGCCGCATCGATCTGCGAGGATCTCAAAGCCCGAAAACGAGCGAAAACGCCCTTTGTGAACAAAAGCTGCATCGCCAAGATCTCAAGGGACGCTGCGGGGGAAACCAAAAGATACCGATACCGCTACTCCCCGGACCTCTCCCGTGGTGCGTTCGGACCAGAATTTCGAGGCGAATCCAACGGTGGCGACGAGGGCCTCCCAGGAGGCCCCAACACGGACAAAAACAAGGGCAGGGTCGCGCTGCGGTGCGGGCCCCTCCTCCTCCTCCGAGTCTGGGGTCGCTGCGCGTTGGCGCCAGCTGCCCTCCTCGCACCCCCCGGCGCAAGCCCCGCACGAGCGCCCGGTCCGCGCTCGCGGGGGGTCGGCGCGCGGGCGGGCCGGAAGGCGTCCCCCGACAGCACGCGGAACCTGAGCGGAGGCGGCCGCACTGGGCCCGCACGGGCTCCGCCGCCCAGGGGGGGTCCTCCTCGTTTTCCTCGGATTGCTCCTCCAATTCTTCCTCCTCCTCCATTTCCTCGAATTCCTCCTCCAATACTTCCTCCTCCTCCTCCTCCTCATCCTCCTCCTCCTCCTTTCCCTCCAGCTCACCCTCCCCATCCTTTTCGGTCAATTCCTCCTTCCCCCCCTCCTCCTCCTCCTCCTCCTCCTCATCCTCCTCCTCCTCCTTTTCCTCCAATTCCTCCTCCTCCTCGTCCTCTTCCTCCTTCACCTCTCCTCCTCCTTTTCTTCCAATTCCTCCTCCTTTTCTTCCAGTGCCTCCATTTCCTCCTCCTCCTCCTCCTCCAATTCCTCCTCCCCCTCCTTCTCCTCCTCGTCGTCCACCTCTTCATCCTCCTCCTCCTCCTCCTCCTCCTCCTCCTCCTTCTCCCCTCCTCGTCGTCCACCTTCATCCTCCTCCTCCTTCTCCTCCTCCTCTCCTCCTCCTCCTCCTCCTGATCATCATCAACTTCCTCCTCCTCCCATTCCTCCTCCTCCTCCTCCTCCTCTTCCTTCTCCTCCTCCTCCCCCCTCCTTCTCCTCCTGCTCCTCCTGCTGCTCCTCCTCCTTCTCCACAACCATCACCACCACCAGCACCACCACCACCATCATCATCATCATCATCATCATCATCATCATCAGCATCATCACCATTACCATCGTCATCATCATCAACGTCAGCATCACCATCGTCAGCATCAGCATCAGCATTATCATCATCATCAGCATTAGCACCATCATCATCATCATCATCATCATCATCATCATCGTCATCGTCATCGTCATCAATACCATCATCATCATCACCCTCATCACCCGCATCATCAGCACCATCATCACTACCAGCATCATCATCATCACCATCATCATCATGACCTTCACCAACATCATCATCATTATCCTATCATCATGACCTTCACCAACTACCAGCATCATAATCATCACCACCATCATCACCATCACCGTCACCATCACCATCACATCACCATCACAATCTCAATCGCCATCACCATCAGCATCAGCATCATGATCATTATCAACATCATCCTCATCCTCACCATCGCCGTCGCCAAAGCCATCATCCTCCTCTTCCTCATCATCGTCACCTTCGTCGTCAGAAGCAGCATCACTATCATCAGCATGATCATCATCATCATCATCACCATCATCAGCATCATCATCATCCGCATCAATATCATCTTCATCGCCATCCGCAGCAGCAGCATCACCATTGCCAGCATCATCAGCATCATCAGCATCAGCATCATCACTCATACTGTCATCAGAGTCGTCGCCATCATCACCACCATCATCAGCATCATCAGAATTACCATCATCTCCATCGAAATTATTCTTATCATCATTATCTCCATCATCATAACCACCTTCATCATCATCATCACTCACAGCAACAACAGCAGCGTCGTCATCATCATCAGCATCATCATCATCGGCAGTATCATCCCCATCATGACTTGAATCATCATCATGAACAACACGATCATTATCATCATTACCATCACCACCCTCATCCCGCAGCATGATCATGTACAGTCGCAGCATCACCAGAAGCAGTGTCGACAGCATTGCCATCACCATTACAGTCGTGGCCATCATCGCACCATAACCATCGGCATCGCGTTCACATGAAGCATAATCAGCATCATCATCATTACAACACCCATCGTCATAAGCATCGCCATCCTCACAATTACCCTGAGCATCATCATGAGCATCGTCCTGATCACAAGTGTCATTATCCTCATTGTCGCCCCCATCATCGGTATCATCGTCATCATCACCATCATCATCAGACTCACCATCAACAACAACAGCATCGCTGTCATCGTCGTCCTGAGCGTCAACATTATCATATTATCATCCAAAGCAGCATCGCCGGTACAGACATAGTTGTCGTCAACAGCGTCATTATCGAAACCACTATCATAACAGCTATCAACATCATCATCATCACCAACAACATTATGACGTTCCTTCCTCTCCATATCCTCATCCCCCTGGTCACCTTCGTCCTTATCACCATCCACTCCACATCATCATCATGATCATCATAATCATCAGCATCATCATCATCCACAGAATCATCAACATCGGCATGATCATCATCATCATCATTATCACCACTATCATCATCCTCACCATCACTATCACCATCATAACCATGACCCTCATCATCATCAGCATCATAATCATCATCATCATCATCATCATCCTCATCCTCACCATCACCGTCGCCACAGCCATCATCCTGCTCTTCCTCATCATCGTCACCACAATCGTCATTAACATCATCATCATCATCCCACAACCACCACTAGCGCCACCACCACTATAATCCCCATGATCAACAGCAACATCATCATGACCGTCATGGTCGTCGTCGTCGGGATCATCACCATCTCATCGTCGTCGTCATCATCATATTCAACATCATCATCATCATCAACATCATCATTCTCATCCTCATCCGCAACCTGATCATCACCATCATCATAATCATCATCGTCATTATCCTTCTGCCCTTCCTCGTGCTGATTCTCCTCCTCCTCATCATCATCCTCAGTATCCTCATCCTCATCCTCATCCTCCTCCTCCTCCTCAACCTGCTCCTCTTCCTCCTCCTCCACCGCATCCTCGTCGTCATCATCATCATCATCACCACCGTCCTCCTCATGATCATTCTCATCATGATCATCATCATGATCATCATCATCATCATCATCATCATCATCATCGTCGTCGTCGTCGTCGTCGTCGTCGTCGTCGTCGTCGTCGTCGTCGTCGTCGTCGTCGTCGTCGTCGTCGTCGTCATCATGGTCCTGCTCCTCCAACCCCCTCCCCCGAGCCCCGTCCTCCATATCGTTGGTCTCCTCACCCCCCCCCCCTCCTCCCACTCCCCGATCCGCAGCCTCAACCGCTTGTCTGTTCCCTGCTCTTCTACCTCGCTTTCTCTTCCGGAGGGACTAACAACCCCCTTCCTTCCCCCTCCCTACAGCCTCTTCCACCCGTCCGAGTGATGCCAAGGGAACATGTGGTGACCTCTAGAGACTTCAGAAAGGGGGGGGCCCTCACGGATCGTTTAGGCTCGAACACACATCGTAATTGCACAAGTCGGGCCAAGAGCTCCGGTCGTGAATTAGTGTCAGCCCGAAAGAATTGTATAATTACTATACCCCAGAGCCCTGGGGGGCTGGCGAGGTCCTGGTTGTGGGTCTGGTCTACAAAATTCCCTTCCTGGGGCGTGGTTCTGTGCACTGAAAATGGCCCCGGGCGGTGGAATCTGACTGGGGCGGGGAGGATCTGGTATACAAGCAAATCTTGAGGATATCGTCGCGGCATCGCAGTGTTGAACAACGCGCTGGACGTCGGCGCAAGTGCCAGGCCCCAGAGCAGTCGCCTCCTCCTCCAGCCTCCAGCTCGAAGGGAGGGAGGTGCAAGGGGGGCGGCGGGGGGGAAGTGGGGGATCGGGGAGACGTAAGACTCGTCTTGTGGGGATTCGACGTTGCCTGACGGCCTGCCAGGGCCGTCAGAAACATGGCGGGACCTGGTCCGAGATTTGACGCGAACTCCCGCTGCAAACTGGACTGTTAATATTCACGCCAGCACCGTCAAAAAGCGGCGGCAAACCCGAACCCCGTCAAACTCGAGCCTTACGTTTGCCCACGGGAGTGGTGGCGGGACGGAAGGGGGGAAGGAGGCGTGCAGGGACAGGTGGGGGGAGAAGAAGTAAAGCAAGGGAAGGGAGAGGGCGAGAAGTCGCGAGAGTAATTGGAAGAGAGAAAACAAAGAGAGAGAGAGAGAGAGAGAACAAACAAAACACTCACACACATTGCTCGCTCGACGTGAACAATCTTGTACGCGTGCACTTTAAACGAACATATCTAACGCCAATGTCATGCAACCCGTGCTAAAACAGCTCTGCCGATTGACAACATGATCGACCCACGAACCCGGAAAGGAATATCGAATTGTAACACGTGGCAGCGTTTTCAAAGACACTTGTTGGGCGACGGACAAATACAATGCTGAGTGTATCGATCTCGATGTACCCTGCCGAGGGCTGTGCTGTGCTGCACCGTGCTGAATTGCGATGTACCATGCCGCGAATGTGCTCTATAGCGTCATGGATCGAGTCCTCCTTTGCATCTGAGTCCTGACCGAACTGATCTCGATCTTAAGCTCGAGCTGCCTGAACACATAGTAGCTGCCCCACAGCTGATGGACAGGGGAGCATGTCAGGAGGACGCGCTGCGAAACGTCCCAAGGGATGCGCCAGGCGACGTGCCAGGGGACATGCCATGGGGTCGCACCGCGGGACGTGCCAAGGGGACGCGCTACGGAACGCGCCAATGGATGTGCCACGGGATGTGCCAGGGGACGCGCCACGCGACGTGCCAGGGAGACTCGCCAAGGGACGCGCCACGGAACGTGCCAAGGAACGTGCCCAATTGCAATGCTGAGTGTATCGATCTTGATGAACCGTGCCGAAATCTGTGCTGTGCTACGCCGTGCTGAATTGCGATGTGCCATGCCTCCATTGTGCTCTATAGCCTCGTGGATCGAGTTCTCCTTTGCATCCGAGTCCTGACCGAACTGATCTGGATCTTAAGCTCGAGCTGCCTGAACACATAGTAGCTGCCCCAGAGCTAATTGACGAGGGGACATGCCAGGAGGACGCGACGCGGAACGTCTCAAGGGACCCGCCAAGCGACGTGCCAAGGGACGTGCCATGGGGACGCACCGCGGGACGTGCCAAGGGGACGCGCTACGGAACGTGCTGGGGACAAGCGTTTCGCTCGAGACATCCTGCCAACATCCTCAGAATTTCTGCGCGCGGGACGCGGCACGCGCGAGATATCCTCGGAATTCTTGCGAGCGGGACGTGAAAACAAGCATTTCGCCTGAGACATCCTCTGAATTCTGGACCCCCACGAGGCCCACCACGAGGCCCCCGCTCGAGACATCCCCCAATTTTGCAAAACCAGCGTTTCGCTCGAAACGTCTTCAACAAACTATGAAAAACAAACATTTCGCTCAAGGCATCCTTCCAAAATTCAAGGACTTCCGGGCAAAACAAACGAATTAGTCGAGACATCCTCGAAATTCATGCGCGCGGGACGCGGCACGCGCGAAACATCATCGGAATTCCTGCGCGCGGGGCGCTTTTCCGCGTCGCGGTCGGCTCTGCAAAACCAGCGTTTCGCTCGAGATATCCTCAACAAATTCTGAAAACAAGCGTTTCGCTCGAGACATCCCCAACTCTGCAAAACCAGCGTTTCGCTCGAGGCATTCTCAACAAATTCTGAAAAACAAACGTTCCGCTAGGGACACCCTCATTTTGTTGCCGAGGGGTACTCTTAGAGTGTCTCAAGGGCAGATGTGAGAATAATTACGCTACGTCAGCGCTCCCAGGGCCACGATCCCTCGTAAGGGCTCCTGGGCCCTCCGGGGTCTTCCTTGGACCTCTTGGGCCCTCCTGGGCTCTCCTGGAGCCTCCTGGAGCTTCTCCTGGGCCCTCCTTGGGCCCCCTGGTGCCTCTTGGAGCCTCCTGGGTCCTCCTGGGCCCTCCTGGGCTCTCCTGGGCCCTCCTGGGCTCTCCTGGGCTCTCCTGGAGCCTCCTGGGCCCTCCTGGGCGAAGTCAAAGTCCGAAAACACATGGGACTTGCCACATTTCTGAAATTCGGTGCCACCCCTCGGGCAGGTCGGCGGGGTCAGGATCCGAAAACACATGGGATTTGCCACATTTCTGGAATTCCGTGCCACCCCTCACGCAGATCGGCGGGGTCAGGGTCCAAAAACACAGGGGATTTCACACATTTCTGGCATTCCGTGCCACACCTCATGCAGATCGGCGGGGTCAGGGTCAAAAAACATAGGGGATTTCTGCTATTTCCGAACTTATGCAACTTCAAGAATCCAAAACTCCGTTCCCAGCGCCGTTCCGGAGGCCGCGGTACCTCGTTATTTATCGAGCGAACGCGTTTACCTTGTTTTTTTTATCGTTTAAAGTCGATGTCGGAAAAAAGTGAACGTCACCTGTGAAATATCGAGGTGTCCTTCAAGGCAGTAAAATTCCAAGAGCACGATCTGCGTGAGGGGTGGCGAAAAATTGCCTTCGTCCTCACAATTGAAATCCGCCGGCCCCCTTCGACCTCGTAATTTATCGCGCAAGAATTCCGCCAGCCCCCTTCAAGTAAAAACCGGGGGGAAGACCAACTAAAAGAGAACCCTGGGCCCATGCCCTTTCCGGGGAAAAAACAACGTCCTGGCTGTTAGGAACACGTCATGGAAAAAGGCAGGCAAGACCGAGTAACATGCAGACCGGGGCCGGAGAGACCCCGCGCCTCTCGCACAGGACAGTCAGCCACGTGTACACGGAGGGTGGCATGAGCTGCCACTCGAGCAGCTCCAGCATCCTCCACTCCTCGCTGAGTACGTCCTGCGCCGGCACGAGTGAGCACTGAAGGCAAGACACGCCAGACGGACGACGAGTTCCTCCCAAGATGCGGCCAAACTCCTCTTGTACAGCCAGCTCCCCTGCCCCGCACCCCTGTCACAAAGGCGAGCCCGCGCGGCCGCGGCCCGCCCGCCGGCCGCCGCCGCCAGAGCGCAGCAGCGCCCGCGCTGGGGGGAGCGTCGCCGGGGCACAGGTTTCTGCCTGCCGCAGCGGCCGCGCAGCGAGCCCGCCGCCTGGGCGTAGGCGCTGCTGGGCGAGCCGTCCATGGGAGCGGGCAGGAGGCAACAGCGGGGCGGCCGCGAAGGGGGGAAGAAGAAGGGCGGCGCACGGCGGCGAGCACAAACCACGGAGGTCTTCGTAAGCCGCGCGGCGGCCTGAGTTGGGCGTTGCTCCATGGGGGGGCGGAGCCCAGAAAGGGCGGGGGAGAACTGCGCACATTCCATACCCATTTTTGGCCCCAGGGGGGCCCTCTAGGGCCCGTCTGGTGCGCAGAGGATGCACAGCTCTCGTCCCTGTCCTCCCCCCCCCATCAAGTCCCCCCCCCGCCTGGCCAGGCCCGATGGGGGCCTTGTAGAGCGAGAGACCGCCCGGAAGGCAAGCCCGCGCGGGGGAAGAGGCGCTGAACCCCCCCGACCCCCCGGGCAGGCCCCCCCCCCACCTTAACTTGGACGGGCACGGGGAGGAGGCGGAGGAGGAGGACGGGGAGGACGAGGAGGAGGAAGAGGAGGAAGAGGAGGAGGAGGAGGAGGAGGAGGAGGAGGAGGAGGAGGAGGAGGAGGAGGAGGGTGGGGGGAGGCGGGGGCGGAGGAGGAAGAGGAGGAAGAGGAGGAGAAGGAGGACGAGGAAGAAGAAGAGGAGGAGGAAGAGGAGGAAAAGGAGGCGGAGGAGGAGGAGGAGAAGGAGGAGGCGGAGGAGGAGGAGGAGGAGGAGGAGGAGGAGGAGGAGGAAACGACGACAAGGAGGATTTTTTTGCCGCTGCACCCTCTGCCCCCGGTCATGGGAGTCCCTGCTGCAGCTGCGGCTAACCGCGAGCTGCAGGCACCAGCGAGGACTGGCGCAAGTAGCCTGCAGGGCGCACACTACAGGCTGGCCAACAGGAGCGCCGCACGGTGCGGACGAAAATGGCAACGCTGGCGCTCGAGGGCCAATGCGCAAGGCAAAGACCCGAAAAACAGGCACGGCAGGACGCCCAAAATGGCGACGCTGCCGAGCACACAAACCTCCCTCCCCAGTCTGAGGAGCCAGACGGCAGCCCCTCGGTTATCGCCTCCTCAGCGAGAGAAGCCTCCTCCGAGCAGTGCCTAGTCTGAACAAGTGCCAGCGGCGCCGAGGAGGAGGCAGAGGAGGAAGTAAGTTGGGGTCGCTGCGCAACAGAGTCCTCGAAAGGAGTGTGCAAGGGGACAGGTGCGCACAGGATGCGCGGGCCTCGGACGCTGCGCGGATCGCAGGGTCACGAGCAACAGAACTGGCCTCACCCGCGCTGCTCTGCGGAGCGGCGCTGGGGGGCTGAAAGACAGAGGTGGACGAGGCGGTGCAGCGCCTCGGGCCACCAGGTACCTTCCGACGAACACGACCGACCGACGATTCTCCGACGACACCACCCGCCTCCTCGAGTCGAGCAGTGCTGCACTCCGTTGCAAAAGGGGCACCTGCCCTGACGCGCACAGACTTGGCCGCAGGCGCGGCGGAGGAGGAGGAGGAGGAGGAGGAGGAGGGCGCAGCAAAGAGACGGGCCACGGCGAACGCTTCCGCATCCAGCCAGGCTTCATGCTTGCCCGCCAGAATACGTTGCCAGTGGTAGCGCCCTGACTTCAGGCATCTGGGCTTGCCGAGACGTGTCCGTTGGAGGATGCGTACATTACCTCCAGACGCGAAAGATCTACAGGCCGTGCACGCCACCAGCCTGCTACCATCAGATACTACAAACGACAAACAAGAGTACCCTGAGCTCCTGGAGCTGGCTCCCCAGAAGCTCGTGGGTCTGGGGGCACTCGCTGTTAGGTGGCCACGCAGCCCTAGTCGCCCTCAAACACTGCTTGCACTGCGAGTATGACCCGCGCCAAGCCCACTCATGGCGTCCACACGCCCTCGGAGGCGGGCGGGGAGCAAGCTTGTCCCGCGTGGCCCTGGAAAGGTCACGCGGTGGCCAAGCAGGCAAAACGCGGGCAGCAAGCACGCACAATTTACGGCACGCAGCAAGGGCTCGCCGGAGCCAAGCTTCGCGCTCGGCGCTGGGCCTCTCATGGGCCAGGGTGCCGAGTTTAGCACGATGATCAGCCAAATCGTTACCGGACTTGCACCGTGCCAGGTGCGGGTCCTGGAAGGCAGCCTCTTCTGTCATGTGACCTTTCACCTTGTGGAGCGGTCCCATAGCAGAGCCGGCCGTCCAAATAAACATCCCAGCGCGGACTCTCCTATACGAAAGCTGCTGACTTCGAGGCGAGGCCCGCGCGTTGACGACATTCTGACAGTCACTGTACCCTTCGGGCGGGGCCGCCGCGCGTTGGCAGGCGGCACTCCAGGCCGCAAATTCGGCAGCTTGGGCCGTCTGTGGGACAGGGGGTGGGAGGGGGGCGTAAACGTGACCCTTCTCCTGCCCATCATCAGACACACACGCATGCGCCCAACCCGAGCGCGAAACCTCGCGAATCACATGCCGCATGCACGATCCGTCAGTGAAGATTGCCCCTTGCATCTTAGTCTCCAGACACTCGGGGCCATCAGCGTGACATGCTACAGGCAGCTGCTCGGACGGCGGCGGGAAATAGCCCCCTGGATGCGCGAAAACTCCAGCGGTGTAGAGCACCAGGTCCTGGGCCGACAGTTCCGACTCCAAGCCAGGCACGTACTTAAAGTCGCCCAAGACAGCTGCGAGCTCCGAGGTCACCGCCGAGCACTTCCATAACCGATGAAACAGAGTGTCACGACTCGGCACATGGGGCATCTGTCGTCCTCGAGGCGGTAGCCGGCCTCGATGGCCCTAGCAAGAGTCCAAAGGGCCTGACTGGCGAGCCCTCTGATGCAACCCTTTTCCCGCGCCGAGAATTTCGAGGGAGACATGGCGGCGAAGTGGGCGCCCAGGCACGCCTTAGATCCCAAATCAAGAGACCCCCCGAACTCACGCTCGTGACACCTAAAAGGACAGCAGCCTTGAGGAGCCGAAGGATGAGGGCAAGGGAGACGAGAATTAAGGACACTGCGATTCCCTTGTCATCGACCAGGGTGCTAAAGTTCGGCACGCTCCAACCGGGGCGCCCCGCAGACAACCGCATGGCCCCTATAGGCCCCCTCGCCTGACGCCGCGAAGGAAGGCCCCCCCTGAAGACTTGAATCCACGAGCTCCTGAGCTCAGACATGGACAGACAACGGGCGAACGAACCGACGAGGCTGGACCAAACTTCTTCAGACCAACGCACAGTGGGGGCCACCGACGCGCACCAAGTGGGGCCCATGGCGAAGAGAAGGGCCGAAGCGGGCGGCTTCGGCAACTGCTTCTGGAGTTCCTCCTTCTTGACAGAGGCCGCCTGGAGTAGCCCTGCGGCATCCAGCCCAAAGCGCCCCGCGTACTTCCGCACCGCCGTGTCCATGACCTCGAGCATCTCGAGCTCATGGGCTGGATCGACTTCTTCGGGACCAGTGGGCGGCTCTGGGAGGAGCGACTTGGAGTGGGTTTCCTTGATGTAGAACTCAATTTGGTCGAGGGTGTCCTGATGGGCCTTGGACTGCGCGAGCTCCGCATCGAAGTGTCGCTGCGCCTCCTGCAGCGCCTCTCGCGCCTCCTAGACCCTCTCCTCGGACTTCTCAATATGCTTCTTTTTGTGGGTGCGCCTCTGGAGAAGATCCTGCAAGCTCTTGGAACTGAGGTCTGCTGGCGGGGGCGGTTCATCCTTTTCCTTGTTTCTCTCCTTGAACATGTCCTGCAGCTGCGTCTCCAGCTCGGAACCTTCCTTGAGACCTTTTTCCCTGAGCAACTTGATGAGATCGTCATTGGGCAAAGCTGCCGCGGCAGCTGCCTTGCCCCCTTTGCCGCCGCCGCCACCTTTCCCCCCCCATCCTCCACAAGCCGCGGTGGTCCATTAAGCCAGCGGTTGGGGGCCGGCGACACTTTGGCATTCAGTTTTACACGTTGCTGGTTGAGAACGTGCTGCGGTGCCTTCAACCAACAGTCCCGACAGGTAGACCTGAAGGAAAAATTGTCGAAGGAGCAGCACGTGTTGCGACAGCGCCACGTGGCTTGACCTTGGGCCGCCTGCCACGGAGGCGCATTGCCGCCTCGATTCATGAAACACTGGGGTGGCTCGGTCCAGCTGCGCCACTTCCAAGTGCGCTGGACCAAAGGTTCACAGATCAGCTCGAAACCTGGAAATGGCTAGGAGGAGGAGGAGGCGGAGGCGGAGGCGGAGGAGGAGGAGGCGGAGGCGGAGGAGGAGGAGGAGGAGGAGGAGGCGGAGGAGGAGGAGGAGGAACGCCCAAGTCGCAGTGCCGATCTCGGGACGGACACGCTGGCGCCGCGGCGCGCCGCGCGCGAGAGGCCCTCGGGGCGGGCACGGGCGCTCCGCTCAGCGGGAGGGCGGCCCCCTGCGCACCTCGGAGGTCGCCGCAGCGGGCCGGGAGCGGCCCCCCCGCGGCGCGCAGGGGGCGCCCTCGCCGCCGGGGCCGCCCAGGCCTCGGGGGGCTCTCATCTCCGTGGGCGGCCTCGGGAGCCCCTCCGCGCCGGGGGCGGGCCCGTGGGCTCTGCGGCGCGCTGCCCCGAGCGGGGCGCCGCTGGCCGCTGCAGCCGAGCACCTGCGCGAAAGACCTCGGACGGGCGACGACGAAACGGGCGACGCGAAAGACCTCGGACGGGTTCTGGGCCACCCAGCTCCGCACATCGCGCCACGCGATGTGCGGTCGTCTTCCCGCCGTCTCGCCCTCGCGCCGCCCTCCCCCCTGGGGAGGGCAGCTGCTCTGGCCCGGACCGCGACGCGCGGTTATCTTTGCGTCCCTGGGGGTGATCCGAAGGGTCTTGCGCACGAGCACACGGTGACGTGAAACGATGGATCACACGGGCCGCCAACGCGGCACACCACGGGGAAGAGAGTGCGCTTGTGCGCGATTTTGCGCGCCAGACAGCCTGCGCACCAGCGCCCGTGCCGGTCGGCCCCATGTCTCCACGTCGCCTCAACGAAGAGCAAGGCCTTCTCGTGATTTCTCGCGCCAGACAAGTAATTATGCTCTGTGGGAGCCATCAGGATCAACGCAAGGGACGCCGCGCCCCTTTCCAACTCAGACGCGCTCCCTACCTCAACGCCCCGACTGCGGTTGTGCTGGCGCTGGGCAGCCCTTGTGAACTCTTCGGTGCTGGTGAACTCGAACAGGCGACTTGCTGCCGCCTGCTCGATTCGTCCGTATCGATAACTGCTCGGCCTCAGGTCTGAAAGCTCACCGGATGAGCTGTCATGCCCCAGCGTGGCGCGCAACATCCAGCAACCTCGCATGGGTGAAGCGCTGGAGAGACGGGCGTCTGTTAGTCGAAGCGGCCAGCTCCCCAGGGACTCGGCGATTCGCCGCCCCCCCGTGAGCTCTGCAACACACGAGCTAGGGAGAGAAGCACTGCCCAGAGGCTTCTCCTCCTCCTCTTCCTCCTCCTACTCCTCCTCCTCCTCCTCCTCCTCCTCGGTCCTCCACATTCCTCCTCCTCGGACGGGGAGGAGACGAAGTTTAGCAGGATGCGGGGGCAGGGGGAGAAGGGATGAGGACCAAGAAGAGGTACTGGAGGTCTCGTCTGGTCTAAAGTTTGGCCATCCGTTGATTAACGAACGCGGAGCTAGCAAACTAGCCAACCCTCTCTGGCAGGCAATGGCTCTAGGAGGTCATGATTGGCCCCTGGCCGATTCTGCAAGTCGTCGTCGTCCTCCTCCTCCTCCTCCTCCTCCTCCTCCTCCTCCTCCTCCCCCTCCCTCCCTCCATCCACCCATCCATCCATTCATCCATTCATCCATCCATCAATCCCTCACCTCGTCCCTCTCTCCCTCCCTCCCTCCCTCTCTCCCTCCCTCCCCCTCTATCCTGCCTCTGCGTAGCCAGAGAGCACCGACGGCGTCCAGGAAACCCCACATCCGCAAGACAAGGAAGCCCCACGGGCGGCGCCCGGCCCTACGTCCACACCCTCCTCATGCTCCTTCGTCCTCACCTTCCCCCTCGCTCCCCACGTCGTCGTGGTCGCAATTGATCGTCACATTCGTCGTCGGCCGTCGGTCGAAGATCGTCATCGTGGTCTTCGTGATCGTCGCTCGTCGGTCATCGGTTGTCGTCGCGGTCGTCGTCGTCGTCGTCGTCGTCGTCGTCGTCGTCGTCGTGGTCGTCGCCGTCGTCTTCGTCGTCCGTCGTGCGCCATTGCTCTTCGGCTATCTGTCCTCCGTCGTCGTCGTCGTCCGTCGTCGTCGTCGTCGTCGTCGTCGTCGTCGACCTCCTCCTCCTCCTCCTCCTTCTCGTCCTCCCACTCGTCCTCGTCCCTGCCCCTGTCCTCGTCGTCGTCGGCGTCGGCGTCGGCGTCGGCGTCGGCGGCGCCGGCGTCGTCGGCCGCGCCCGCCGCCCCATCGCGCGCCTCGCCGGCCACCTCCTCCACGAGCACGCGCACCGCACAGGGCCCCGAAGGGCTCTGCAGCCAGTGCGCGAAGCGGCTCGCCTCCGCCGCGAGCGTGGGGTACGACTGGCCGAAGGAGGCGAAGGTGGCGTCCTGGGAGGCCCCGGGCATCGGCAGGACGTGGCAGGGCTTCGGGCTGCGCAGAGGCATCCCCCCAGGAGGGGGAGGGTGACCTTGACCTTGACCTTGGATCATCCTCAGCGCCATCCTGGTCTGACTGGGCCGTGGGCTGTGTACGGTTATGTTGCACAGTAGAAGCTCCGTCGACAATGTGATGATCACTTGTTGAAGAATCGGGTACGGTGGACCTGCTCCAGCGGCTTGCCTCGAAAGCTGGGCCTCGAGGTGACGGACCGATACCCTTCGGGGCCGCCTCAGTCCCAGGGCACATCCCCACAGTCATTGACGAACGAGATGACTGCGAGGGGCATTCATCAAGAATCCCGCGGAGCTGTATCCCAACAGCAGACTGGAAAGAAGCCCAGGGGGAGGGGGAGGAGGAGGAGGAGGAGGAGGAGGAGGAGGAGGAGGAGGAGGAGGACCATTGATGGTGCAGAGGGTGCGGAGGCGGAAAAATCAGCCGCCGCTGGACGGAAGTTCCTGGGCGCCACCAAGGAGCCCCTACAGAGGGTTCTCAGCGTCACCCAATTGGCGAATGAGGTCGCACAGGCGCGAAACAGGGAAGACCCGGCAGCAGAGTGGGGGGGGTAGGAAGCTCATGCGCATGGGAGGTTGGGTTACACCTGTGCTAAGGAAGCGGGAGCGTTGCCACTTCGTTTGGACCAGAGGAGAAACCAGTCATCTCCCAGGAGGGGTGGGATCAGCTGCATGCTGAAATAATCGTTGCCATTGCGGATGCCGAGGTCGTGCCGACAATGGATTTGAAACAACTGTTTGAACCGCCAAAGGCGGCACGCCTGTTAGAACTTGAACGCTGCGTCGAGTATGTGCAATGGGTGAGGTGGGTAGTGGATAATATACGTAAGCTACCTAAGGATGAAGCCCCTGGCCTAGATGGTATCAACTACGACTTTCGGGGATCTTATGACCCGGGTCAATCCAGACCCGGGTTAGTCAAGCCTTGCCGAATCCTGCAAAATCCTGCACCCAAACCTGGGTCAATGCGAAAGATCTTGCAAAATCCTGCAGGATCCTGCATCCAAACCCGGGTCAATGCGACCCTGGAGCTGCAAGATCCTGCAAGATCCGGCGCTCTGGCTGACCCCCGTTTGCATTGACCCCCGTCTCTTGAGCCCCGAGACTTGCTTCGTGCAGCCCCACCGGCTGTGCCGAGAATGCTTTACCCGCTCTACACTAACGTGGCCCTTGGGGGCATGGAGCCGCCAGCGTACGGTACATGCAGTGTGGAGGGACAACGTTTGCCATCCACACCCTGTTCACTCTTGTACAGCACATGCGGCACGATGAGGTCCATGTTTGTTTCGATGTTGGACGTCGTGAGTGCTTTTTACAAAATGATTCGGGAGTTTGTGGTAAGCATGCCAGGGGAAGAGAAGGATCGCAGAGAACTCTGGGGAACGATACCTGTACCCGACTGCCTGAAGGAAGCGATGACCACAGGCCCTTATCCTACAAGGAAACACCCCAACTCACTTAGAAGCAATGTTAGCAGAATCTTACAGGGGGGCCTGATTCTGTGTTTTGGGGCCCGACAAGGGCAGCGGTGGCCCGCAAGGGCCCTTAACCAGGCGACTCATTGGTCGACTTTTTTTACACCGTTATGTCGACCAAAATGTTGTCTGGATGGCTCGTGTATGGGGGCCTACTCTTGAGCATGTCGGGGGAAGATCAAAGGGGGATATTCCTGGAGGTGCATTAAGATCAAGGGTTTATGTCAAACTCTGTGTGCGCTGATGACGTTGTGTTCCCACGCGCGACAGACAGCAAAGCCACGCTGCCTAGGGGTATTCAACGGACCGCAATGGTGGTGGTGCAGGCAGCAGGGAGAAGCGAACTGATCTGTAGATTTCAGAATGACAAGACAGAGGTGTTGGTGGCCACACGGGGGATGCTGAAGGTTTGGACCACGAGACACCTTTTTGAAGAGAAGGGTGGGCTCATCGACTTACCTAGGACCAACGATCGCATCAAGCTGGCTCGTGAAAAAAAGTCCCTTGGGACAACTGTGTTGAAAGATTTGGAATGGGGTCCGGAGGTCGCTCAGCGCAAGTCCTCCGCCTTGGTTCCCCTTCGCCCATTTCGACGTGTTGTTTTCAAAGCTCACCAGGTCCCTTCGATCCCCAAGTTGAAGCTAACGGACTCTCTTGTGCTCTGTAGGCTGCTGTACAATAAGGAGATCTGGCATACTGTAGGGGCGCAAGCGAGGTCAACAACGAAGTTGGGGTCGCTGGGGCCGACGTCGCAGGGAGGAGGGATTTCGTCGTGGTCATAGCCGGCATCGTGGCGGGCGTCGTCTTCGTCGCCGTCGCAGCAGGGCCGCTGTGGGGGCAGGACAGTACGGTCCGTCGCGGGGGCCGAAACATGGCCGTCGTGTGGTGCCGTCTTGGCGGTGGGTTTTGGGAACGTTCGGGTTGAGGGGGGTCGCGGAAGGGGGATCACATGCACTGAATGTGACTTGATTTCTGCGATTGCAACAGGCTGTGCTCCACCAAATGAATTCACAAATGCGCAAAAGCGCATACGAATTTGTGCAAGCATGTGCACGCATCCACGCGGGCATCATAATTGACACACCAACATACAAATATACGAACGCCGACACAAAAGCAAGCACGCACACACGAATAGCATTGCATAAGTATTCAACTAGTTCATGCAAACGTCCTCAAGCATCGCCATGCGCTCTAGCTGGTCAAGCCAACTCTCCACTAGTAAATCGAAAACAAATAATCGGTTGTGCGCATCATCCCCATTGAAACTTTGGCCAGTAGCGCATGGACTCGAATGTTTTTTCCTGGCGCGTGGACAAACTCATGCAATCGCATGACGCCGCAGAAGAAAGCTGGTAGTCGTTCCAGCATGTGGCAATGGCCGCGCTTGTTTCATGTTGCATTCGTTCTCTTCTTTATGTCACTCGCCTTCTCGCTTTCTCTACTTACCTTCACCGCAACTTCATCCACAGAAAGAAGCCATGTTCAATCTACAATAACAGGGACATGTTTCAATCCGCCATAATGAATATTCTTTCTGTAACCCGCCAAAATAAAAATTCGTTCTGACATCGCCACAGAAAGGAAACCTTTCGTAATCCGCCACGATGAAAATCGCTCTGTAATTCGCCACCAAGGGGATCATGTTGTATGTAATTCGCCAAGACAGAATTTGGTATGTTGCGGACGCACAGACTGGCCGAGGGTCCAGGGGAGCATCAGCCAAAGAAAACATGACACAAACAAAGAAACCTGATGTGCTCCTCACGACCTTGATGAAGTGTGGACTATCCACCACACCGCACAAGGAATATTTTTAGTAATCCGCCACACCCAGAATCCCTTGTGATCCGCCACAAGAAGGGATCCTTTTGTAATCCACCATAACAGGAATCCTTGTGTAATCCGCCCCAAACAAGGATGCCTTATGTGGCGGACGTGCAGGATGGCCAAAGGGCCCATGGGCACGATGGAGAAAGACCACACAAACAAATAGAAAGATCCCTTTGGTGAAATCTCTTGTCATGGATTCTGTTTGTGGCGGATTTACGCATTGATTTATTGCGCGTCGGAGCCAGCCGAAGAGGCAGTGTACCGCAAGCCGCGAGACATCAATCTGTAATTCATATCAAACACAGCTCTTACTTATTCCTTGTTCCAGTGCTTGTTTATATCTCTTATGTTTGATTATACTTCTCGTCTATTCGCTTTCTTTGTTCTTATAGTACGGGTTACAAACAATAATCCTTTCGTGACGGGCTCCAGAAAATGCCCTTCGTGGCGGGTTACACACGGGATTCCTTTTGTGGCGTGGCCGGTGGCCCAACAAGTAACCAAGAAACGTCAACATATCATGCGGGTGTGTATGTATCTCCCCTTCGCTGGAACTTGGTCTTCCCATGTTAGCTCTAGGCCCTCGGTCAACTTGTATGTCCGCCACAAAAAGGATCCTCGTATAGCGGATTACAAAAACATTCCTTTCATGGTGGGTTGCAGCAGGTTTCCTTGTGTGACGGATTACACAAGGATTCCCTTTGCGGCGGGTTGCAAGGGGGGTTCCTTTTGTGGCGTGGCTGGTGGCCCGACAATTCATCGAACAAGCGTGGGGATTCCATACAGATTGCTCGTTCTGAATGTTTTCCTTGTGTTTTCTTCGTTGGGTGGTATCCCACTGGACCCTCGGCCATCTTGTACGTCCGCCACAGCAGGACTCCTTTTTTGTGGCGGACTACAAGGATTCCTTGTGTCGCGGATTGCAGCAGGATTCCTTATTTGTGGCGTGGCAACCAGCCAACAAAAATGTCAAACAAGTGAGTCCCGTGCGGTCTGGCATTTGTTACTGAATGTTTCCCCATTCAGAGCTTGCCTCTGTAAGGGTCCTAACGGATTCATATGTTTAGGTTATATTTGCCGCCGATTTTCGCCGCACGCCCGGGTGCCTGGGTGCCCGGGTGCCTGGGGGTGCCCGGGTGCCCGGGTGCCTGGGTGCCCAGGTGCCCGGGTGCCCGGGTGCCCAGGTGCCCGCGTGCCCGGGTGCCTGGATGCCCAGGTGCCTGGGTGCCCAGGTGCCCGGTAGCTCTATATAGCCCTATAGCCCTATAGCCCTGTAGCCCTATAGCCCTTATAACCCTTTCGACTTATAGCCTTATAGCCCTATAGCCCTACAGTTCCATAACCCTATGGCCCAATAGCCCTATAGCCTTCTGGCCCTATAGCCCTGTAGCCCTATAGCCCCATAGCCTTCTAGCCCTATAGCAGTATAGCCCTAAAGCCCTAAAAAGATTATGATTTGGGTTTTTTCTCTGGTATCATTTCCTTGTGTTTTCTTCGTTGGCTGGTATCCCACTGGACCCTCGGCAATCTTGTACGTCCGCTACAGCAGGACTCCTTTTTTTGGGCGGAGTGCAACAGGATTCCTTATTTGTGGCGTGGCAAGCGGCCTACAAACATGTCAAACAAGTGAGTCCCGTGCGGTCTGGTATTTCCCAACCATCCTGTGGTGTTGGGTCCTCGTTTTGAAGAGACGGTGGCCCGCGTCTCCTCTCCTCCTCTCCTCCTCCGCCTCCTCTCCCCTCCTAGGCCCCATAGGGAGCTCCACCGAAGGCCCCAGTGGCTGCGCTCCCATGCGCCCACCGCACCCATTTCGGCACACCCCTCACACGTTTCGTGGCCCCATAGGGAGCTCCAGCGAAGGCCCCAGCGGCTGCGCTCCCATGCGCCCACCGCACCCATTTCGGCACCACCACACACGTTGCGGTCTCACACGCTTCGTGGCCCCATAGGGAGCTCCAGCGAAGGCCCCAGTGGCTGCGCTCCCATGCGCCCACCGCACAAATTTCGGCACACCCCTCACACGTTTCGTGGCCCCATAGGGAGCTCCACCGAAGGCCCCAGTGGCTGCGCTCCCATGCGCCCACCGCACCCATTTCGGCACACCCCTCACACGTTTCGTGGCCCCATAGGGAGCTCCAGCGAAGGCCCCAGTGGCTGGCCCCGAGCTGGCCCCAGTGGCTGCGCATCCCAGGCCCACCCCCCATGCGCATGGCACACCCCTCACACGTTTCGTGGCCCCATAGGGAGCTCCACCGAAGGCCCCATGGCTGCGCTCCCATGCTCCATTTCGGCACACCCCTCACACGTTTCGTGGCCCCATAGGGAGCTCCAGCGAAGGCCCCAGTGGCTGCGCTCCCATGCGCCCCGCACACCCATTTCGGCACACCCCTCACACGTTTCGTGGCCCCATAGGGAGCTCCACCGAAGGCCCCAGTGGCTGCGCTCCCATGCGCCCACCGCACCCATTTCGGCACACCCCTCACACGTTTCGTGGCCCCATAGGGAGCTCCAGCGAAGGCCCCAGTGGCTGCGCTCCCATGCGCCCACCGCACCCATTTCGGCACACCCCTCACACGTTTCGTGGCCCCATAGGGAGCTCCAGCGAAGGCCCCAGTGGCTGCGCTCCCATGCGCCCACCGCACCCATTTCTGCACACCCCTCACACGCTTCGTGGCCCCATAGGGAGCTCCAGCGAAGGCCCCAGTGGCTGCGCTCCCATGCGCCCACCGCGCAGATTTCGGCACACCCCTCATACGGTTCGTGGCCCCATAGGGAGCGCCATCGAAGAAGATACTCACAATTGCGGTTCTCGCAACTGCATCTGGTTGGGTCCTTCGCCAAGATAATTGGTTTTGTTCGTGTTGTTTTGAAAACTGTTCGGCTGGTATCCTCCCTCGGCCCGCGGCCTCCTTGTATGTCCGCCACAGAAAGGACCACCCTTTTGTGGCGGGTTATAATAGGATTCCATTCGTGGCGGATTACACAAGGATTTCCTGTGTGGCGGATAATAAATGAAGTCCTTTTGTTGCGGATAACATAAGAATTCTCTTTGTGGCGGATTGCAGCAGAATTTCTTCTTTGGCGGGTTACAAAGGAATCCTTGCTGTGTCGGGTTGCAAAAGGATCCCTCTCATTGTCGACTGAACAATGCTTCCTGTTGTGAATTTGTAGATTGAAATGGGGGGAGAAAAACGTAGGCGAGTGAAACTATAAAGAAGAGAGGGGATGCGAACGCGACCACATCAAATAGAGTGAGTTGTCTCCCTTTCGGGTCGCAGGATAGTCGGGGGGGGGTCGCGGGGGGGGGGCTTCAGTGGGTGTCTTCGGCTGTCCATATGGTCATTTCCCCAGGTATGTTTCCTGCGGGCTCCCTCTCAGGGCATGCGGTCACTCGGGATGTCGAGTTGGCCACGGGGGATGCGGCGCCAGCTTCGGGCTGCCCAGCGGCCCTTCTGTCCGCTTCCCTGGGTGTGCCCCCTACGGGCTCCCTCTCTGGGTATTCGGCCTCACGGGGCTCGGCCTTCTTGGGCGCCGTTGGGTTGGATGGTCGCGGGGGCCGTCGGATTTGGCCCTCCTCCTCCTCCTATTCCGCCTCCTCGTCCTCCTCCAACTCTTCCATCGATCATCCTCCTCATCCTCTTCCTCCCTCCGTTCCTCCGTCCCTCTCTCCCTCCCTCCCTCTTCCCAACTCTCTCCTCTCTCCTCTCTCCTCCCTCCTCCCTCCTCCCTCCTCCCTCCTCTCTCCTCTCTCCTCCCTCCTCCCTCCCTCTCCTCCCTCCTCCCTCCTCCCTCCCCTTCTCCTCCCTCCTCCCTCCTCCCTCCCCTTCTCCTCCCTCCCTCCCTCCTCCTCCTTCTCCCTCCTCCTCCTCCGCCTCTCCACCTCCGCCTCCGCCTCCTCCTCCTCCTCCTCCTCCTCCTCCTCCTCCTCCTCCTCCTCCTCCTCCCCCTTCTCCCCCTCCTGGTCCTCCTCCTCCTCCTGCTCCTCCTTACTTTCATCCTCATCCCCCCTCCTAATGACCTCTAGCCCTCCCCCCACCACCTCGTGCTTCCTCGCAGCGGTGGACGACAACGACAAACACGACGACGACCACGGCGACGACCATGACGACGACGACCAGGACCACAACGACGACGACAACGACAACGACGACGACGACGACGACGACGACGACGACGACGACGACGACGACGGTGGCGACGACGGTGGCGACGACGACAACGACGAGGCGGCGACGACGACACGCGGCGCTCCTCGCCCTTGCCAACGAGCGATACCGCGGCCGCGCACGCCGCCGGCAGGGTCGCGATGGGCCGGTCGCCGCCGCCGCCTATGCCCACCCCTCCCTCTGGCGGGCACGCCGAGCTGTTCCACGAGCGCGGGGGGGGGGGGGGATCGCGCGGGGGCGCAGGGATGGGCTGTGCAGAAGGGAACCAACACTGACATAGACATAGAAACTCGGAGGTCCGCGCGGATTCCTCGGATCGGCGCTGGGGCCCCCTGCCAGCGCCTCCGGCGCCGCCCCTGGTGCGCTAAGCGCGCCAGGGAGGGGGGTCCAACGCCAATCCGGGAAATCCGCGCGGATTTCCGAAATGATGTTTATGTCATTGTGTGTTCCCCGGGTCCACCGAGCGTGGGGGAGGCTGGCACGCTTGAGGGGTGGCACGGAAGGGGAGGGGTTGTCAAACATCCTGGAGTACTGTGTGTAGACGGGGTTGTCGGTCGATGCGGGAGAGGCGCCTTCCTCCAAACAAAAATCAACATAATTATTGGCTCTCAGCGCGGATATCTTGGATCTGAGCTGGACCCCCTCCCTGGCGTGCGGAGCGCGCCAAGGGAGGGGCCGGAGGCGCTGCCAGGTGGGCCCAGCACGGATCCAAGAATTCCGCGCGGAGCGCCAAAAGTTTATGTTTACGCAATTGCTTCTTCTTCGATTCCCGCCGCCTTCCCGCACCTTTCCTGCGCGCTGCCGGAGCCCCGTCCGTGGGCACCCGTCTGGGTGGCGCTGACCCCCGTGCCGCACCCCCTGGCCGGAGAGGAGCGCCCACGTCGGCGCGGTCGATCTGGCTGTCGCCGTGGTCGTCGTCGACGTCGTCGTGGTGGCGGTCGCGGTCGCGGACGCGGTGGCGGTCGCCCTCGTCGTCGTCGTGGTCGTCGTCGTCGTCGTCGTCGTCGCTGTCGCCCTCGTCGTCGTCGTCGCTGTCGTCGCCGTCGTGGTCGTGGTCGTCGTCGTCCTCGCCGTCGTCGTCGTCGTGGTCGTCGCTGTCGCCCTCGTCGTCGTCATCGTCGTGGTCGTAGTGGTCGTCGTCGTCGTGGTCGTCGTCGTAGTGGTCGTCGTGGTCGTGTGGTCGTGGTCGTGGTGGCGATCGTGGTCGTGGTCGTGGTCGTGGTGGTCGTCGTCGTCGTCGTCGTCGTCGCCCTCGTCGCCGTCGTCGTCGTCGTCGTGGTCGTCGTGGTCGTCGTTGTTGTCGTCGACGTCGTCGTCGCTGTCGCCCTCGTCGTCATCGTCGTCAACGTAGTCGTCTTCGTCACTTTCGCCCTCATCGTCATGGTCGTAGTCGTCGTCGTCGTCGTCGTCGTCGCCGTTGTCGTCGTCGTCGTCGACGTGCTCGTTGCTGTCGCCCTCGTCGTCGTCGTCGTGATCGTGGTCGTCGTCCTCGTCGCTGTCGCCCTCGCCGTCGTCGTCGTCGCGGTCGTCGTCGTCGTCGTCGACGTCGTCGTCGTCGTCGTAGTCGTCGTTGTCGTCGTGGTCGTCGTCGTCGTCGTCGCAATCGCCCACGTCGTCGTCGTCTCTGTCGTCGTCGTCGTCGTCGTGGTCGTCGTCGTCGTCGTCGTCGCCACCATCCTCGTCGTCGTGGTCGTCGTCGTCGCCCTCGCCATCGTCGTCGTCGTGGTCGCCATCGTCGCCGCTGTCGCCCTCGTCGTCGTCGTCACCTCAACCGTCGTCGCCGTCGTCGTCGTCGCCGCTGTCGTCGTCGTCGTCGTCGACATCGTCGTCGCTGTCGCCCTCGTCGTCGTCGTCGTCGTGGTCGTCGTCGTCGTCGCTGTCGCCCTCGTCGTCATCGTCGTCGAAGTCGACGTCGTCGTGGTCGTAGAGGTCGTCGTGGTCGTGGTCGTCGCGGTCGTCGTCGTCGTGGTCGTGGTGGCGATCGCGGTCGTGGTCGTTGTCGTGGTCGTCGTCGTCGTCGTCGTCGTCGCCGTCGTCGCCGTCGTCGTCGTCGTCGTCGTTGTCGTCGTGGTCGTCGTTGTCGGCCTCGTCGTCATCGTCGTTGTCGTCGTAGTCGTCTTGGTCGCTTTCGCCCTCATCGTCGTAGTCGTCGTCGTTGTCGTCGCCGTCGTGGTCGTCGTGGTCGTCGTCGTCGTCGTGGTGGTCGTGGTCGCCGTCGCCCTCGCCGTCGGCATCGTCGTCGACGTCGTCTTCGTCGTGGTTGTAGTCGTCGTCGTCGTCGTCGTCGTCGTCGTCGTGGTCGTCGTCGTCGTTGTCGCTGTCGTCGTCGCTGTCGTCGCTGTCGCGGCCGTCGTCATCTTGGTCGTCGTCGCCGTCGTCGTCGTCGTGGTCATCGCTGTCGCCCTCGTCGTCGGTGCCGTCGCGGTCGTCGTCGTCGTCGCTGTCGCCCTCTTCGTCGTCGTCGCCCTCGCCGTCGTCGTCGTCGTCGTCGCCGTTGTCATTGTCGTCGTCGTCGACATCGTCGCCGTTGTCGCCGTGGTCGTAGTTGTCGTCGTCGACGTCGCCGTCGCTGTCACCCTCGTCGTCATGGTCGTCGTCGTCTTGCTCGCTTTCGCCCTCATCGTCGTAGTCGCCCTCGTCGTCGTCGTCGTGGGCGTCGTTGTCGTCGCTGTCGCCCTCGCCGTCGTCGTCGTCGTGGTCGTAGAGGTCGTCGTGGTCGTGGTCGTCGTGGTCGTGGTCGTCGTGCTCGTGGTGGTCGTGGCCGTGGTGGCGATCGCGGTCGTAGTCGTGGTGGTCGTGGTCGTCGTCGTCGCCGTCGCCCTCGTCGCCGTCGTCGCCGTCGTCGTCATCGTCGTCGTCGTCGCGGTCGTCGTTGTCCTCGTCGACGACGTCGTCGTGGTCGCCCTCGTCGTCATCGTCGTCGTCGTAGTCGTCTTCGTCGCGTTCGCCCTCATCGTCGTAGTCGTCGTCGTTGACGTCGTCATGGTCGTCGTGGTCGTCGTCGTCGTCTTGGTCGTCGTCGTCGTCACCGTCGTCGTCGTCGTCGTGACCGTCGTCGTCGTCGTCGTCGTGATCGTCGTCGTCGTCACCCTCGTCGTCGCTGTCGTCGCCGTCGTCGTGGTCGTGATGGTCGTCGTTGTCGTCGCCGTCGTCGCCGTCGTCGTCATCGCTGTCGCCCACGTCGTCGCCGTCGTGGTCGTCGTCGTCGCTGTCGCCCTCGTCGTCGTCGTCGTCGCCATCGCCGTCGTCGGCGTCATCGTCACCGTTGTCGTCGTCGTCGTCGTCGACATCGTCGTCGCTGTCGCCCTCGTCGTCGTCGTCGTGGTCGAGGTCGTCGTAGTCGTCGTCGACGTAGTCGTCGTTGTCGTCGTGGTCGTCGTGCTCGTCGTGGTCGTGGTTGTGGTGGCGATCGCGGTCGTGGTCGCGGTCGTCGTGGTCGACGTCGTCGTCGCCCTCGTCGCCCTCGTCGTCGTCGTCGTCGTTGCCGTCGTCGGCGTCGTCGTGGTCGTCGTCGTCGTTGTCGTCGTTGTCGTCGTCGACAGCGTCGTCGCTGTCGCCCTCGTCGTCGTCGTCGTAGTAGTGGTTGTCGATGTCGCCCTCATCGTCGTTGTCGTCGTCGCCATGGTCGTCGTGGTCGTCGTTGTCCTCGTCTTGTTCGTCGGCGCCGTGGTGGTCGTCGTCGTCGTCCTCTCGTCGTCGTCGTGGTCGTCGTCGTCGCTGTCGCCTTCGTCGTCGTCGTCGCTGTCATCGCTGTCGCCCTCGTCGTCGTTGTCGTCGTGGTTCGTCGTCGTCGTCGTCGCTGTCGCCCTCGTCGTCGTCGTCGTGGTCGTCGTCATCGTCGTCATCGTCGTCAACATCGTCGTCGCTGTCGCCCTCGTCGTCGTCGTCGTGGTCGTCGTCGTCGTCGTCGCCGTCGTCGTGGTCGTCGTCGTCGTCGGCGGCCACGTCGTTGTCGTCGTCGACGTCGTCGTCGCTGCCTAAGTCGTCGTCATCGTCGTCGTCGGCGTAGTCGTCTTCGTCGCTTTCGCCCTCGTCGTCGTCGTGGTCGACGTCGTCGTCGTCGTCGTGGTCGTCGTGGTCGTCCTCGTCGTCATCTTGGTCGTCGTCGCCGTCGTGGTGGTCGTCGTCGTCGTCGCTGTCGCCCTCGTCGTCGTCGCCGTCGACGTCGTCGTCGACATCGACGTCGTCGTCGACGTCGTGGTCGTCGTCGTCGTCGCTGTCGCCCTCGCCGTCGTCGTCGCTGTCGTCGTAGTCGTCGTCGTCGTCGTCGTCGCCGTCGTCGTCGTCATCGCTGTCGTCGTCGTCGTCGTCGTGGTCGTCGTCGTCGTCGTCGCTGTCGCCCTCGTCGTCGTCGTCGTCGCCCTCGCCGTCGTCGTCGTCGTCGTCGTCGCCGTTGTCGTCGTCGTCCTCGACATCGTCGTCGCGGTCGCCCTCTTCGTCGTCGTCGTGGTCGTGGTCGTTGTCGTCGTCGCTGTCTCCCTCGTCGTCGTCGCCGTGGTCGTCGTCGTCGTAGTCGTCGTCGTCGTGGTCGTCGTGGAGAGGTCGGCGTGGTCGTGGTCCTTCTGGCGATCGCGGTCGTGGTCGTGATCGTCGTGGTCGTCGTCGTCGTCGGCGTCGCCCTCGTCGCCGTCGTCGTCGTCGGCGTCGTCTTCGTCGTCGTCGGCGTCGTGGTCGTCGTCGTTGTCGTCGTCGTCGTCGTCGACGTCGTCGTCGCTGTCGCCCTCGTCGTCGTCGTGGTCGTCGTCGCTTTCGCCCTCATCGTCGTAGTTGTCGTCGTTGTCGTCGTCGTCATGGTCGTCGTAGTCGTCGTCGTCGTGGTCGTCGTCGTCGCTGTCGTCGTCGTCATCGTCTTGATCGTCGTCGTGGTCATGGTGTCGTCGTGGTCATGGTCGTGGTGGCGGTCGAAATCGTGGTTGCGATCGCGGGCGCGTCGTCGTCGTGGTCGCGGTCGTGGTCGTCGTCGTGGTTGTCGCCCTCGTCGCAGCCGTCGTCGTCGTCGTCGTCGTCGTCGTCGCCGTCGCCTTCGTCGTCCTCGTCGTCGCCGCCGTGGTCGCCGCCGTCATAGTCGTCGCTGTCGCACTCGTCGTCGTCGTCGTCGTGGTCGTCGTCGTAGTCGTCGCTGTCGCCCTCGTCGTCGTCCTCGCTGTCGTCGCCGTCGTCGTCGTCGTCGTCGCCGTCGTCGTAGTCGTCGTCATCGCTGTCGCCCTCGTCGCTGTCGTCGTCGTGGTCGTCGTCGTCGTCGCTGTCGCCAGCGTCGTCGTCGCCGTCGTCGTGGTCGCCGTTGTCGTCGTCGTCGGCATCGTCGTCGCTGTCGCCCTCGTCGTCGTCGTCGTCATGGCCGTCGTCGTCGACGCTGTCGCCCCCGTCGTCGTCGTCGTGGTCGTCGTCGTCGTAGTCGTCGTCGTCGTCGTGATCGTCGGGGTCGTGGTGGCGATCGCGGTCGTGGTCGTGGTCGTGGTCGCGGTCGCGGTCGTAGTCGCGGTCGTGGTCGTCGTCATCGTGGTCGTCGTCGTCGTCGTCGCCCTCGTCGCCGTCTTCGTCGTCGTCGCCGTCGTCGTCGTTGTCGTCGCCGTCGTCGTCGTCGCTGTCGTCGTCGTCGTGGTCGTCGTCGTCGTCGACGTCGTCGTCGCTGTCGCCCTCGTCGTCATCGCCGTCGTGGTCGTCGTCGTCGTCGTCGCTTTCGCCCTCGTCGTGGTCGTCGTCGTCGTCGTCGTCGTCGTGGTCGTCGTTGTCGTTGTCGACATCGTCGTCGCTGTCGCCCTCGTCGTCGCCTTGGTGGTCGCCTTGGTCGTCGTGATCATGATCGTGGTGGCGGTCGCAGTCGTGGCCGCGGTCGCGATCGCGGTCGTGGCCGCGGTCGTGGTCGTCGTCGTCGTCGTTGTGGCGGTCGCGGTCGCGGTCGCCGTCGCCTTCGTCGCCGCCGTCGTCGTCGTCGTGGTCGCGTTCGTGGTCGTCGTCGTCGCTGTCGTCGTCGTCGTCGTGGTCGTCGTCGCCCTCGTCGTAGTCGTCGCTGTCGCCCTCATCGTCGTCGTCGTCGTCGTCGCTGTCGCCTTCGTCGTCGTCGTTGCTGTCGTCGCTGTCGCGCTCGTCGTCGTCGTCGTCGTCGCCCTCGTCGTCGCTGTCGCCCTCGTCGTCGTCGTCGTCGTCGTCGACATCGTCGCCGCTGTCGCCCTCGTCATCGTCGTCGTCGTGGTCGTCGTCGTCGCTGTCGCCCTCGTCGTCTTCGTCGCTGTCCCCGTCGTCGTCGTCGTCGTCGTGGTCTTCCTGGTCGTCGTCGTCGTGGTCGTCGTGGTCGTCGTGGTCATCATTGTTGTGGTCGTGGTGGCGGTCGCGATCGTGGTCGTGGTCGTGGTCGCGGTCGCGGTCGTAGTCGCGGTCGTGATCGTCGTCGTCGTGGTCGTCGACCTCGTCGTCGTCGCCCTCGTCGCCGTCGTCGTCGTCGTCGCCGTCGTCGTCGTGGCCGTCGTCGTCGTCGCCGTCGTCGTCGTGGCCGCCGTTGTCGACGTCGACGTCGTCGTCGCTGCCGCCCTCGCCGTCATCGTCGTCGTCGTTGTCATAGTCGTCTTCGTCGCATTCGCCGTCGTCGTCGTCGTAGTTGTCGTCGTCGTCGCCGTCGCCGTCGTCGTCATCGTCGTCGACATCGTCGTCGCTGTCGCCCTAGTCGTCGTCGTCGTCGATGAAGATGTATATACATGTATGTGTGTGCGCATGCGCGTGTGCGTGTGAATGTGCGGGTGCGTGCGTGTGTACGTGTCTCCGCGTGTGCGTGTGTGCGTGTTTGCGTGTGTGTGTGCGTATGTGAGTGTGTGCGTGTGTGCGTTGCGTTTGTGTGTGAGAGCGTGTGTGAGAGTGTCTGAGATTGTGTGAGATTGTGTGAAAGTGTGTGTGTGTGTGAGAATATGTGAGTGTGTGCGAGTGTGTGAGTGTCTATGAGAGAGTAGAGTGCGTGAGTGTGTGCGTGAGAGTGTGTGTGAGAGAGAGAGTGTGTGTGTGCGTGTGTGTGAGTATGTGAGTGTGTGTGTTATGGCCCTCCGAAGGCCCAAACATATCCACACCCACCGCCTGCCGAGGTCCCCGAGGCAATGGTCGTTGATACGGCGTGATGTGCTGGGACCTCTGACCTCCGCCGTCGTGTGCTCTGACCTCCGCCGTCGTGTGGTTTTCTCAACGTCGACCCCCAGATGTCTCGACACCCTCCCCTGGACCGGTACCCACCTCCGTCGCGACTTTTTCATGACGCGAGGGGGTCTTGGGTGGACTGGAAATTGGAAATCCAGGTCGCGCGCACTTCCGCCCCGCCCTCTGCACAGGCAGCTCGAGAGGCGGGAGGGGGGGCTAGAGGAAGAAACAACTGAAACTTTTGGCGCTACGCGCGGGTTTCTTAGATCTGCACTGATAACGCGTAGCGCGCCAGTGGCGGCGCTGGAGGCGCCGCCGGGGGGAGCCCCGCGCGGATCCAAGAAATCCGCGCGGAGCGAAACAGGTTTATGTTTATGGCGTGTGCTCTTCTTCGATGGGGGGCGGAGAGACCAGAGGGGGCTGCCAGATGCCGAGGGCCGGCCCCCGCCGCGCGAGTGGTAGAGGTCGAGGAGCCGCACGGCGTGGAAGCGCCCGGCGGGGGGCAGCTGACAGTGGTCTGGCGGCGGCGGGGGCGGAGGTGGAGAACGGAGGAGGACGGAGGAGGACGGAGGAGGAGGAGAAGGACAAAGGAGGGGGACGGAGGAGGACAGAGGAGGGGGAGGACGGATGAGGAGGATAAGACGCTGCTTGGCGTCGCAGAGGAAGAGGACAGAAGAGGACAGAGGAGGAGGACAGAGAAGGGGGACAGAGGAGGAGGACAAAGGAGGCCGCCTCCTCTTCCTCCTCCTCCTCCTTCTCCTCCTCCTCCTTCTCCTCCTCCGCCTCCGCCTCCGCCTCCGCCTCCGCCCCCCCCCCCCCCCTCCCCCTCCCCCCCCTCCCCTCCCCCTCCTCCTCCTCCGCCGCCCGCCTCCTCCTCCTCCTCCTCCTCCTCTTCCCCCTCCTCCTCCTCCTCCTCCTCCTCTGTCCTCCTCCTCCTCTGTCCTCCTCCTCATCCTCCTCCTCCCTGAAGGCATCTGTATGCCACCGCCCCATGTCTGGCCAGGGCCATCCAAGGGCAGGGGCAGGACGGGGCGCAAGAGCGGGAGTGGGACCAGGAGGAGGGCAGGAGGAGCGACAGGACGAGCAAGGCTGCGCTCAAGCGTACGAACATGAGGACGACTGGTTGGATCGCAGGAGGCGGCCGAGGAGCACGGACTGGCCAGGGAGAGCTGCGGATGGCCTACCAGCGCGGCGATGAAGCGCAGCGTGTGCTCGCGTACCTCGCCAGCTGCTCACGTGGGCGGGGCAAGAGAGGGAGGAGTACATGTAGGAGGAGCGGGAAGAGGAGGGTGGAAGGGAAGGAGGGGGAGGAGGGGGAGGAGGAGGAGGAGGAGGAGGAGGAGGAGGAGGAGGAGGAGCATGAGTGGGAGCAGGAACGGGGGTAGAGTGGAATCGAAAAACGGAAGCATGAATAGGAGTAGAGATCAAGGTAAACCAAGTCGAGCGAGTCAACGGGTCCCACCCATTCTCACCAGCTGCAATTTTCAAAGTCCTGGCTTGTAATGTCCTCGTTTCAAGGGCCCTGGCGCCGAACGGCCTTTCACCAATGGCTGGATGGCCCTGACACGGGCTGCCCCCCGACTCGGCTGCGGGCGGATCGACGCCAAGGCTTGCCCAAAAGAAGATGGACACCCACAGCCGCCCTCGGCGGGGGCGCCGTCGCGGAAACTGGGCATGAGCCCACCAGACCGCTGGCACAACGTCGCCACCTGCAGCTCTTCTCGCGCGGTGGCAGCGCCCGCAACCCAAGAGGACTCTCTGGATTTACGTTGCTCCCATCGTACTTAAGGACCACATGCAGACATAAGTTCGAGCACCCGGAAAAGTCTCCAAAGAGTGTCGAAACAGTGCCGAAACAGTGTCGGGCGAGTGTCTCCCAGGGCCCGGCACGTGAAAACCCTTGAGTTTGGGTGTACTTTTCTGGCGCTCGAAATTCTCTCTGGTGATCAAGGCTAAAGCAGGTTGGAACATCATGACTCTGGCTGCCACCGGGGAGGCCCAGCGCGTTGCCGGGCCCATCCAGAGCCCTCGGTGCTCGTGCCTCGAGGGCCGCAGGCCGGGGACGATGGCCTCGGCGACGGCGACGACACCCCAGACACCTCGACGCCCTGGCTTTCGACGCGGCTCCCTTCGCCAGGACTGGGACCTCATCCCAAGCCATCCTCCGACGGTCCTGGGGGGGGGGCCCAAGTTGGCAAAGCCTTCCGTCGACAGGTCCCCCCTTTCTAAATCTGACCCTGGAGTCGTCCTGGGGCGCCCCCCGACAATCATCTCGAAGGGGAGCCACCCGCGGCGATGCAGCCGACCTCAAAGCAGGTTGCTTCGAGCCGCCCCTCACCAGGATCGCGAGGCGGGATCCCCAGGGAGCAGCGGGCCCCGTGGGGCCTGGCGGCCGCAACATACAGCCGTCACCCGTCGAAGTCGGGGATCTTCTGACCCGGGTCCATCCAGACCCGGGTCAACCCGGGTCCATGCGAAGGATCCTGCAGGATCCTGCAGGATCCTGCACCCAAGCCCGGGTCAATGCGACCCTGGAGCTGCAAGATCCTGCAAGACCCGGCGCTCTGGCTGACCCCCGCTTACACTGACCCCCGTCTCTTGAGCCCCGAGACCACCAAACCCTGAACAGGCCAGTGCTTCGGCCGCGCGGCCTCGCGGAGGCGAAAACGAGGGGAGGGCAGCGGCATCGGTTGGAGGCGGCCCAACGTCGTGCCCTGTACGGCGGCCCCGCGAGCTCTAGCTGACCCCCGTTTGCATTGACCCCCGTCTCGAGGCTCCCGACGAAAACGCGAGGCGGGATGCCCGGGGAGCGCCGGGAGAGCCTCTGGGCCCGGCGGACGCAGTCTGCAGGGCGCACGGGCGAGCCGGGGTCGATGCCTCGTGCCCGTAGGCCGCCCCCTCCCCGCTGAGGTCGCCCCTGAGAATCGGATCCTCGGGGGGACGGTGCCGTGCTCCTTCTCAAAGCCCCCCGCCCCCCTCCGAGGGACCCGCGGCGTGCCCGCGCCCGCGGGCGATGGAGCACACGAGGAGGACGAGGGAGAGGGCGAGGAGGTGATTGGGGGCCGAGAGGGCGAGGGCGGGGAGGGATGGGGAGGACGAGGAGGAGGATGATGGTGCTGCCGATGTCGACGATGACGACAACGACGATGACGACGACGATGACGACGACGATGACGACGACGACGGCGATGACGATGACGATGACGGTGACGATGACGATGACGATGATGATGATGCTGCTGATGATGATGCTGCTGATGATGATGATGCTGATGATGATGCTATTGACGACGACGATCGTGATGATGATGATGACGGTGGCGATGGCGGCGAGGATGATGATGGTGATGGTGATGATCGTGATGTTGGTGGTTGTGCTGATAATGATGCTGAGGATGATGGTGATGATGATGATGGTGGTGACGCTGATGGTGGTGATGCTGATTGTGGCGATGATGGTGATGGTGGTGATGATGGTTGCGATGATGAAGATAGTGATGATGATGGTCATGTTGATGGGGGTGGTGATGGTGGCAATGATGGAAATGATGGTGATGATGATGAATGGCGACGATGGTGATGATGGTGATTGTGACGGTGATGATGGAGATGGTGGCTGATGCTGATGCAGCTGATGCGGATGATGATGACGAAGGTAATGGTGATGTTGATGGTGATGGTGAAGATGATGATGGTGGCAAAGGGTAATGGTAATGACAATGATAATGCAAGTGATGGTGACGATAATGATGATGATGATGATGTTGTTGATGATGGTTACGGTGATGATGAAGGGGGCGATGGAGATGATCGGTTTGAAGTGACAAAACACACGCTGCATTGTTTTGTTACTTGTCAGAGAAGGTGGTCGGGGGCGATGCTCCGAGCAGTGCGCCTTCCAATGCAAACGACCATTCAGGATCAGGAAGCAGACAAGAAGGGAACCATTTAGGGCCCACGGGTAGTTGAACACAAGGTTCGGGACCATGCCATTTACATATGATGAGTTCCAGACAAAGATAGTTGGGATAGTGACGAATGGAGCTGAAGTTGGTGCCGTCTTCGGGGCAGGCAAATCCAAACGAGACCGCTGGCGGCAAGTGAGTGGACGCGAGCAGACGAATTGGCAGGTCCAGTCACGATTCGAAGCGGAGCCACTCCAATATATTTTATTCAAACAAAAACCCAATCAGTGGGTGGTTTTAAAATTCGTGATCTGGACCTTGAGATCGATTGCGCGACCGGTAGTGAGATAGGTAGTGGGATCGATAGTGAGGACGATAGTCAGGTCGACCATGAAACCGACAGTGAATTCGATTCAGTAATATCGATCGTGAGGTCGATTGTGAGATCGCTTGCGCGATCCAGAACGAAATCGATTGCGACATCGATAGTGCGATCGATTGTGCTATCGATGGTGGAATCGATGTAGAAGGGTGTAATGAGATCGATAATGAAACCGAACGATAAAAAAATCGACTCAAAACCCTGGAACCCGGAAACCTGGAACCCCGCCGCCCACTGAAATCGCCCCGGAACCAGCAACTAAAAATCTGGGAACCCGGAACTGGGAACCTGGGAACCCGGCCCCCTGCCGAAATCGGCCCAAAACTTTCGCCAAATCCTTCACTATCCGCTGGGACCCCTTCAGTGCAAGCACTGATTGGGGAACATCGAAGACAATGTGCATATACTCTTGATCGTTTTGCACATCGTTTGGATATGTTCGGAATCAGCGTGTTCGGGATATTTGGCCAAAAATGACACACACGTCTCAGCATGGCACTTTGAACAGGATCCGGAAGTTCTCTTGGCACCGATGAAACCGGGACAGCTTAGCATGGAGAGAAGACGAAGAAGTTGAGATACCAGACGGTAAACCAACGTCCCAATCACGAAGTCTCAGAGGGTATCAAAGAAACGACATCTGATGCCAACAACGGAGCCACCGATGGTGAATGTGTTCAGGATCAACACGGGCCTGATCGAGCTCCTCGAGGACCCCAGGAAGAGACGCAAGTTTGATGAGGAACCTCAGGGAGGCGGCCTCCGCGACATCGTTGATCTCGACAAACCCGGTGCCAAGGCCTATCGCCTTCAGCTTGGTAGCAATATCGCGCGAGATTGCGTTGCGTGGGTCCGCGGTAAGGAGCAAGACGCTTTCTATGTATTTCTGGGCCAGGATCTTATCGGGCGGGTAAAGCTGAAGGCGAAACAACAGCTTGGAAACACACATAGCCTGAAAGGATGCAGCAGACAGGGACAAGCCCAGACCTAACTGGCGAGCATGGTGCACCCGCCCCATGAAGCCACGGAAAATCGACGGCCAAACATGGCAGTGAGCACCAACAACCAACCGGGACCCCAAGATAAACATCCCAGGAGACGACCTGGATATTGTTGGACAGTGGACGCCATAGCTTGCCGAGACGGCCATCAAACGCGACCGATCGGTGTTGCCACAAAGTATGATCTGACACTTCTTGAAATTGAGCTTCGAATGCGCGAGACCTGCCAACTTTGACAGCGCCGGGAAGAAAGGGCCGAGGTCGGCCGAGACATTCACCCGCCCAAAGAGGAAGTCGTCCGCATAATCGAGTCGAACCAATGTATCGCAAAACACATGTGGCCTATTCCATCGGAGGAGTGGACCAACTGTCAATGAGAAAGTGTATATGGAGGCTGGATACCACTGTTTAACAACGGATTCTATGGATATGACATCAAAATGACGACCCCCAAGGCAGATGATCCCCGCACTGTCTTCATACATGAGCTTGGCAGAACGGACAGTGCGGGTGTGCATGCCCATGGCGGCAAGGACGAAGAAAGGCCGCATCTGTGCGAGGCTGGGGAAGGCAGAGGCGAAGCCGGTGAGGTAGAAAGACGGGCGTGGGCCATCGCGCACGCGCCTGGTCAAGTCCCAGGCCTCAGTTCGAACTGCAACAGATAAAAGATCCCCCCACCACCACCACCACCGCCACCGCGCGCTTTTGCACTTCCCCCGCCATGTGCTTGGTAGCACCATCACAAGGCGAATCCACGCATCGGCAGAAACTCGATGTCCACTTCTGGCGCATCTGCGAAGAGGAGGCAGCGCGAGTGGGGGGCCCTGAAGGCCGCGGGTTTCTTCCACACTGCATGCGGGATGCCGCCGGGACCAGGCGTGCTGTGGGACCTCTGGAGGACCATCCTATACCAGGAGAGGTAATCGAGCTTC